TTGTGATCTATTTCTTTATCACTTCATCATTGTTGTTGCTTACAGTTTTGCCACTGTTCTTTAGGTCATGCTGACTTTTTTTTCCTAAATTTTAAGTCAAGCATTTTGTAAGATAATCAAAATGGAAAATTCCAGAAGTTCTCATTTCAAATCATAGGCCCATTTGTTCTCTTTCAAACATTTTCTATTTTAAAATTGTCCCTTCAAGATAAAACCACACAATATGTGACTGGAAAAGTCACTTGATTTCCCTGAGCCTGTTTCCTTATCATAGGAATAATAATCAACACTCCTTTCAAAAGGATGTTGTGAGGATGAAATAAAATTATGTGTATGAAAGCTCTTAAGGGTTATACACACCTTATCATTGCCATTGCCTTAAGTCCAGATCACAACAATACTGACATGCAACACGAATAGCTACCTAAAACAGAACAGCCTCACTGTTGGACCTTTCTTTAAAAGGTTATACAGCTATATTTAGAGCTTAGCCATTTTCTCCTCCATATTTTTTTTTCTTGTTTCCCACAGCCCTCCATTCCTTGAGTCAGTGGCATTTACCTCCTCAGGGGGCGGGTAGGTCAGCCCAGTATGGGGACTCCCTGGGCAGAAGGGGGGCCTGGCTCCCCAGAGTGTGGACCTCAAGGAGAAGCCATGTCCAACACAGCATCTGGTGGTAGCATTACAATGTCTGAGGGAGAAGTCCAGGCCGAGGGGCCTGAGAAGGGCCTGTGGAGGCCTGGACATCCCAGCATAGTGTGGAGAATGCATCCAGAAACTCCTCAGGTCCCCAGAGGGATGTGGAAAGGACTCAGCAGATAACAGAAGAGCCCCAGCAGTTTGCAAAAAGTGGATGCAATTTGCAGATGAGCAGTGTCTGTGGCTAAAACCCAAGGCAGATGAAACCTCAAGATGGGAATTGCCATGAGGAGAGAGGACAGCTGAGGAAGCTGGCCTCCAAAGACTGCCCTCCATGAAACCACACCTGCTGACAGTTAGGCCCTGTGTAATCCCTCTCCCACATTGTATGTAGGTTGGCCCTATCACTCACTTTAACCAAGAGAATAATGCAGAAGTAACACTGACAGTTCCAGGCCAAAGTCTTAAGAAAACCTGGTAGCTTTTACTCATACCCTGGTGGAAGTTGGCTGCTATGTGAAAAGCCCAGGTATCCTGCTGGAGAGAGAACCCCTGGAGGGGAAGACACAGCTTATGCAGACAGACCACATGGAGGAGTGCCAAAGTTCTAGGGCTGTCCTAGACCAACCAACTTAGGACTGTCAGGAACAAACCTGTAGTCTGACACAGTCAGGTTTATGGACTCATGGCAGTGAAACAGGCCACAGTCCAGAGGAACTGTGGGGCAACTCACCAAAGGTAGACTATATATGCATATAGACTATATATGCATTATATGAAGAGGGATGAGGGGGCTCAAGGAGGATGAGTGAGTTTCAGTATTCCAGCCCAGTTACAAATTGAAACATTGGAGATCTGCTAAGGAGCCGGGCAATGGGATTATGATGATACTGTGCCTGGCTGGCCCAGGAAGTGCCAAAGGATTCAAAGCCATATATAACATTCCAGTTCTTTCAATGGTTATCTTTTAGAAAAATTGGGATGCCATATTTCACAGACCATAAATTTGCATACCATAAAATTCACCACTTAAGAATAGCAAATAAATGATTTTAGTATTGAATCAAAAGTTCGATAGGCTCAAAGCAAAGCAGGCTCTGTGTAAAGGACTCGACATCAGATCTGGACTATGAAGTGGACCCCAAGGTCCTATTTCCTGGAATGCTATAAAGTTATGATAGATGGAGAAATCTGTGTCCAGAAACTCTGCATCGGCATTGCAAACCAAGGCTGTTTGGGCATGCCATGCTTACTGATAAACGTTTTTGATAATCTATGATTTTAGAAAACAAAGTTTCTCAGGAGTAAGAAAGATGGATGTTCGGCATTTCCAGTTGCATTGTGTCCTTGGATAAAATATTTCCTTCTGTTAACTTTGCATCTGGCTTTATCCACATCTCTTATTCTAACTTGAATGGCTAGGCAGATTTTTACATTCTTAGCCTGAGCTAATTTTTACTTTCTCAGAGCAAAAAATGCAACTCAGAAATTCCAGCCCAGTGGGGCCTCTAGAGGACCCGGTTCCAGCTGCCATTTGATGGCAACTGCAAGAAAGACTGTTAGTGAAGTAAGGAGAATCAGCTGAGCCTCGCCAACCTGCAAAGCTGCAAGAGAGAAGGTCTTGTATTTAGCCACTAAGTTTGGGGATGGTTTGTTACACATAGATTACTGAACCAGTCATGCTTGAAGCAGACCTCTTCCGTGATGGCAGGGTAAGGACTCCCCCCACCCCCCGCTGTCCCCAAATGAGATCATCCTCAGGGAAGAAGGAAACGGGAGAGGAATGAACCTAAGGTAGATGAAGCACTTAGAAGAGACGGAGTATTACCCTCTGGTGAGAAGTCAGAGAGCAGCTACCCCTGGGGAATGGAGGGTTGACTCTGGGTTGCTGGACATGCTATATATCTTGATCTGGCAGCGGCCACACGGATGCATACCTACGTAAGAATTCATCAAGTTGTACAATTATGATAACAAGCAGAAGTGGAGCTCATGGGACGCCTGGGGGGCTCAGTCGGTTAAGCGTCTGCCTTCGGCTCAGGCCATGATCCCAGGGTCCAGGGATCGAGCCCCACATCGGGCTCCCTGCTCAGCGGGAAGCCTGCTTCTCCCTCTGCCTGCCCCTCCCCCTGCTTGTGCACGTGTGCGTGCGCTCTCTCTCTCAAATAAATAAATAAAATCTTAAAAAAAAAATGGACTTCAGCAGCTGATTTCTATCATAGAGTAATAAAGAAAAGTTATCCAGTTCTGTGAAATATATACTTGTCACATACTAATAGATGAAAATAAGACATTATGACAGATGCATGAAGTAAACAAATATTTATGTAGGAAAAAAGTAAAATTATGAATTTAAACATGGACTGACCTAGATGCCAAAGAGGAACCTGATTGTGAACAGAGAATTTAAGAATATAAAACTACAAAATTGCTGGAATTCACTCAGAATTCCTATCTTATGAATTAAATTAGAAGTAGACGGTACCTCTTCAAGCTCATGTCCCTGGAATCAGAGATGGGAGGAAGTTTTGAAATCTCTTTCGCTGGTTCTCAAGCTGGGCTGCACACTAGGATCACCTGGGGAACTTTAAATGATGCCTGGATCCCACCCTAGAAATTCTGACGTAATTGGGCTAGATTGTGGCCTGGGATTCAAGATTTTTAAGATCGCCAGGTGATGTCCGTGTGCTGCCAGGATTGAGAACCGCTGGTCAGTTTCAACCACTTTTTTCGCAAATGAGAACAGAGGCCCAATACTGACAAATTGCTTGCAAAATATCCATTAATTGGCTGAAGCCAATTTTCTCTGATGTGCCTTAATAGGAGGGAGCTGTGGCATGGATAATACCAAACTGAATAATCTAAAAATAATTTCTATTTGGTTTGGGAAAGCAGCACGTGACTTCCCAGCCACCGACTGGTCTGGCTAATTCAGTTTGACTCAAATGAATGTGCCTTTTCCTGAGGTTACACTGACAGCCCAGGCCTGTGCTGAGGTATGGAAGGAAAGCAGTCAAACTCAATATTGACCATGGTCAGTTCCCCAGCTGTCCAAAGCACACAATAACTCTACAGACGAGGGGACTTCTCTTACCAGAAGATTCCACAGAGGGACAAAGCTAGCTTTTTCCTGACCCTTTGTTCTGTGAGCATTGGGCGCCTGAAGCATGAAGAGGGAGTGAAGGGAGAGGGGCTGACAGCTGTCAAGGAGCATTTTTGTGCCAAGTTTTGTGCGATGCATTCCTATAAACAGAATTTGCTCCAGAAAACTCTATGAGTTAGGTATTCTATTATCCCCATTATAGAGATGAGGAAAACAAGACTTAGATTGTATAACCACCAAAGCAGAACCAGGATGGAACCTCGGGCTTATCATACTCTGTCCAAGAGGGACAGTTGAGGCCTCAAGCTGAAAAGCAAGTTGCAGGGGCGCCTGGGTGGCTCAGTCATTAAGCGTCTGCCTTCAGCTCAGGTCATGATCCCAGGCTCCTGGGATGGAGTCCCCCATCGGGCTCCCTGCTCAGCAGGAAACCTGCTTCTCCCTCTCTCACTCCCCCTGCTTGTGTTCCCTCTCTTGCTGTGTCTCTCTCTGTCAAATAAATAAATAAAATCTTTAAAAAAAAAAAAAAAGCAAGTTGCAGATGGACTGGGATCTGATCCTTGGATTTTAAGCCCTGCTGAACAAACTTTGTCTCCCCATTTTTCAGCCCAAACAGTCTAAAGGCAGCAGCAGAGACCTCCAGAAGTACCTATGGCAGCCGTGAGGAGCCAACGGCCAAGATGCCCAGCTGCTGCTCTCTGAAATCCATCCCTGATCCGAGCCAAGCCCACATCTCCCAGGTACCGTGCTGCCCCTCTCCAATGTCTGTGCCCAGTAGGGTACAAAGGGGGCCTGTTCCTGGGAGACCTGGGACAGTGACAGAAGCTTTGCCACATCCTCCTCAGACTGCAGGCATCGGGGATGCTTGCACCCAACCTTCCCTCTTCCTCCCTCCCTTCCCAGGGTCAGGTCTGCAGGGCAGTCTGATGGTTCTCCCAGCCTTTTCCTGTTCCTTCCCTGTTTTCTCTCACAAGGGTGGTCCCCTGAATAAAACCTTCGGGGTGTTTAATCCCATGCAAAGCCCCACCCCACTGGCAACCCCAACCCATATACACATCACTGTGTGGGGAAAGAAGGTCAACCTCTGCTGACTCTTCTTGGGAACGTGGTCTGAGATTGTGAAGGTGAAGACTACAGAGGAACAGGTTTCTCAGTATGTTTGCCCTTGTCATTGGTCTTGGTGCCATGAAGGAAGACAGCCTAGGTGACAAATGATTGACTAGCACCTCAATTAGCCCTAATTCATTTGCCAAGAAGTTACCTTTTATTGCAGGTGTCCACAAGCACAAGGACCAACTTGGAAAGGCTGGGGGTTCTTTTCCGACTTTACAATCCTTCGGGGAAGACATTCAAACCCTGCAGCCTCAGTAACTCCTGAAGGGAGATTTTCTTGTCATCTTTTGCCCCTCCTAAAAGAAGAAAGCAGATAAACTATATATATGCTGATTCTAAAACACCTAGAACAAAAGTGGTGCATACCCACAGTCACCAGTATCATTTAGCATTGTTCTGGAAGTACCAACAAAGGCCACCAGATAAAAGAAAGGAAGAAGAGGTGTTTCTTTTTTAAATTAATTATTTTTTAAGTTTGTGTTTTAATTCCAGTTGTCATATTAGTTTCAGGTGTACCATATAGTGATTTAACAATTCCATAAAACACCCGGTGCTCATTATGACAAGTTCCCTCCTTAATGCCTATCCCCTATTTCACCCATCCGACCCCCCCTTCCCCTGTGGTAACCTTCAGTTAGTTCTCTATGAAAGGAAGAAGAGGTTTAAGAGAATTCATTAAGGTATAAATTAATACACAAAATATGCAAACAATAGTGCACTATAAATATAGCAGAAGAACTTAGCACAAAACAGATTAATGTCTAGGAAAAAATTTAACAAAAATTAGCAGGGCTAATATCACGAAAACTTTAAAACTCCACTGAGGAACAACAACAACAAAAAAACACTTTCAAAAATTCAAAGATACTTTAGCATTAAATAGAAACAATACTTTAAAATTCAATTCTCCAAATATCATATGAACAAATATTTCATATATTCATTTGACTCCACTCTGTATTAACTGTGTCTTTTTGTTTTCTGTAATTCTGAGGCTCCTGGAGGGACTGCCCCTCCCAGGTTAGCTAACTCCTAGAGAGAACAAACAAAACTCTCCTTTCATATGCAAACCAACTGTTCAGGAGCCCACATTTCCAACTACCCCCTTTATCACAGTCTGTATGAGCTCTCACACTCCCCTATCCTCCTTCCCTAATCAACCCAGAGCCAGCACCAGATAACCTGGCCTGCCCCTACACTCCAGAGCCCTTGGAAATTATTAAAACTGGCCAATCCTAAACCTGTTTACCGTGCCTCACCTCTTTCTTCCGGAGGAGACAATAATAAAGGTTTCAGCCCACTAGTTCCCTTTCTCTCTATGCCTGAGACTGACCTCAGTGTCTTCTTCTGTGGCCCTGCGTGGTATGGCATTCTCCTCTTAGGAACTGTAAGAAACTATCTTCTCAAGACAATTGTCTCCTGATCTATTGGCCTTATTGAACCTCAACTTTTTCTATTAGTACACTGTATTTTAAAGCACACTTTTTTTTTGTGCTAGTGAAGTTAATATGCAAAAATAATCAAATGAAGAAAACCATGAAAATTCTGAAAAATGGTAACATAGGGCAGTGGGGAGGGAGCTGGAGTGACTAGTGAAGGGTGGGGAGGCAGGGATAGCACGGTGTTGAGAAATGGTTTTATGAACATAGTGGCTATAAATTTCAGTTCAAAGCACTCAAGTGTGAAAGAAATATTTATTTTTAGTAATTCAACTCAATTTTATCCTCTATTTTGCCAGGGTGGAAACTAACTCAGTGACGTCAGGCCTCATGGCCTCCAACCACCCTCTCTCCCACACTGCTGGAACCAGGGCACCGCTCTAAGAACCGTTGGGCTTATCCAATATCCAGGTATCAGGGGTGGGCTTCTGATCCTTGGTAGCTCCTGTAGCCACTGTGCATCCTGGTTGGGAGGCTGTTTGCTGCAGTTTGTGATATAAACCCCCCCTGGGTCACCTCCTTTCCAAGAAAATATCTCATATTGCTATATGCCATGTGGAAGTGGACGCTTCAGGAGTGAACTCACAGAGGAGCCTGTCCAACAGGAGCAAGAGGACACAGGCCCTGGAAGAGGAGGGGTGGTGACATCTGGGTACACACTCAGTTGAGTGGGGGAGGGCAATGGGAATTTACCATGAACATTCTGAGTAATGACAGAGGTGCACATGGGGCAGGGAGGAAGGGCATTTTCATGGAAGAGATGTCTTTTGAGCTAGACCTTGAATGATATTGCTAATTTCACATGGCAAAAATCGGTGGGTGTACACAGTGTGAGCAAAACTCAGGCTAAGGTGAAACCGGATCTGATTTCCTGAGCCCACCTTCCTCAGTGGGGGGAGGGGGCAATTCCCAGGAACATGCTGGGACCAGGGCATGAGCCACATGGCTGTAGATTAACCATTCCACAAACCACAGGTCATTCTAGTGACCACCGATAAAAGAACAAAATTGTGGATAATGCCATCCCTGTGGAGATTTCCAGGCCTGAGTCAAAATTTCGAGTGTTTCCTTCATACTTGAAACTGGAGATCCAGGGGTTTCTGGGTGTGCCTTTCTCTGCTCCCTAACTGCAGTAAACATTCAATCCAGATTTACCATGGGTTCACTGACTGGCTAGCCTCTCTCCTAGAAAAGGCCTTGGAAGGGAGGAAAGATCTAAGACAACGCAGTGAAAACCAGTGGTGTAGACAGCACTGCTTGTCAGATCTGAACCCAAGCAAGGTATACTTTTATTTGCATCTTATCCATGGGAGGAATTAATAGGATCTTCAATTTCCTTTATCTACATTACTCCATTATTCAGATTAGCAGCAGCAAATGCAACCAGAAATCAACAGATGATTCAGACTTCTTCTGTAACCTTTCACTTTTCAGTCAGCAGAGTCCGTTTTATCAGGGTTTCTCGGTCATATTTCCCAACTGGAATTTAACTCGTTTCCAACTTTCTTAATACATTCATTTGAAATGCTATCCTAATCACTCTAAGTTCATTTGTTTCAGTCATATGGCACTTCTTCATAGGAATGCACCGCTTCCCCATTGCCTAGGGAAGTGTCCTGCAAATAGTAAAGGAAGAAAAACATTGTTGGATTCCGTATTTTCATTTTCCTTTGGTGTGCAACAGTCCTACTATTTCTTTGTAACAGAGTTGAGACTTTTTTTCCTAAGAAAATAGACTCACTTCACGTAATAAGCTGAACTACTTCAAAGGCGCAAGTGCTAAATAACCATAGAAAATATCCACTGAGCTATTTTCCAACTGAGCCCCATGTCAGGCTCCCTGCACAGTGGAGATCCTGCTTCTCCCTCTCCCTCTGCTGCTCCCCCTGCTTGTGCTCTCTCTCTTTCTCTGTCAAATAGATAAATAAAATCTTCTAAAAAAAGATTCTCATTCAACTATTAAGTGAACCACTGCAGAGCAGGTGGCTGTATAAAGACCTAAAATTGGGGGCACCTAGCTGGCTCAGTTGGAAGAGCATGTGACTCTTGATCTCGGGGTCATGAGTTCAAGCCCCATGTTGGGTGTAGAGGTTACTTAAATAAATAAACTTTAAAAAAAAGGGGGGGAAGTAAAAGCAGAAGGGCAGAGGGAGAAGGAGAGAAGCAGACTCCCCACTGAGCCCAGAGCCCAACGCAGGGCTTGATCTCACGACCCTGAGATCATGACCTGAGCAGAAACCAAGAGTCAGACACTCAACCAACTGAGCCACCCAGGTGCCCCTAAGTGTTAATTATTAAACTAGGGGGTACAAAAATGTTTTATCAAAATAAGTTTGACTATCAACCAATAGATTCATCTTAGAGGGGCTTCTTCAACACCTCATCCTTCTAAGGGAAAATTCTTTTTTTTTAAAGGTTTAATTAATTAATTAAATTTATTTGAGAGAGAGCACACACATGCAGAGGGGCAGAGGGCGAGAGAGAGAGGGACAAGCAGACTCCCCACCGAGCACAGAGCCTGCCGTGGGCTTGATCCCAAGACCCTGAGATCATGCGTGATCTGACCTAACATCAGACACTTAACTGACTGAGCCACCCAGGTGCCCCAGGGAAAACTGTTAAAAGGAGACTAATTTCAAGATTACTTTTACAAAATATGCAGTCAATGGACAGCGTCAATCTGGTCTTCATATGCTCAGACTGACCTCTGCCAGATAGTCTACTAACATGTTAACATTTTTTTTCCCTCTTGAACTAAATATGGCTAGGGAGCAAGCATTTTCCCCAAGTTCTATCTGGTAGTTAGATTTATATAGTTCAATTCATGAATATTCATCAAAGCTTCCACACTACTTTTACAGCAGAATCCTGTATTGCACTTGGCCACCAGAGACAACCGTCCACGGGCAGGGTAGGACACTGATGAGGTTTATAAGATCTACCCACTCTCAACACTCCTTTTGATATGCTCTATGCTTTTATGAGCCCAGGCTCTCTAGCATGTATCTCAGAAGTACAGAAGAGTATCTGCTGCCAGGGCAGCTGGGTGGCTCAGTTGGTTAAGTGCCTGCCTTCAGCTCCGGTTGTGATCTCAGGGTCCTGGGGTTGAGCCCCAGGTCAGGCTCCCTGCTCAGTGGAGAGCCTGCTTCTCCCTCTCCCTCTGCTGTTCCCCCCTGCTTGTGCTCTGTCAAATAGATAAATAAAATCTTAAAAAAAAAAAAAGAGTATCTGCTGCCTGGGCCCAATTTCAGGGGCTCGCTGCATAAAACCGCAGCTCCCTGCAAGTATCTTCTGGACTGACATCTCAAAGCTGGAGTCTACTCTGTAGAAGTCACTTATGCCCCTAAGTAGCCAATGGAGACAAGTTTGATGTGTATGGTGCAAACCTGCTGAACTTTAAGAAAAAGTCCTGTGTTCCAATTCATATAAAATTGCAGGTAATAAGCAAGAATGACCCTGAAAATAAATACTTTTCCATTTCTAATATTCTTTTAAAATAATGTCTCTTTCTGATAACAAAAATTACATAATTACTTTTAAAATTTTGTAAAAGAAGGAAAAAATAGAGGAAATAAAAATTACCTATAATTCCATCACCAAGTTATATTAAAATTTTGGTTTTGTTGTCCCCATCTTTTTTTTTCTGTGTATGTATGTGTGCAAGAGTGTAGGTGTATACCGTGACCTGTATCCATCCATTTTGTAGCTTGTCTTTTTCACTAGTATTATACTGTGATTACTCCTCCATTTACACATACTCTTTAACACAATTTTTATTTTATCAGGTCAACAGATCATAATATATGTAACCAATGTCTTATTATTAAACACTGGCATTGTTTCTAAACTATGCTGAATGGTCTTGTATATAAATATTTGACCAACTATTTTATTATGTCTTTAGGACACACTCTCTAAATAGGCTCACTGGGTCAACAGGGCGTATGAACATTTTTAAGATTCCAAATACAAGCACTGCTAGAATTACTCTCTGAAAATGTACCAAGTTCAACTTCCACCACAGCACAGCAGTGTCATCTTCATTTTACCCTCACCCTCACTGAGAATTATAATTTTAAAAGTGCTTTGCCAAGTGGATAAGCAAAACTACGGGATTTCAGTCTAACTTATATATTCACACTTATTCATACTCCTTTATACTTATTTATACTCATTTTACTGTATTTTTTCTGTTAATTATACATTCATGCCCTTTGCTAATTTTTCTACTAGTTCATTAATATTTTTCTTATTTATAAGAGTTCTTTAAATATTAAGGCTGTTGACTCTGTTGATCTCAATGTGGTACACATAAACTAAGGTCTGCTAATCCAAAGATACCCTGAATTATTAGTTCAGGTATGGTATGACTCCTCCTTAGGCTCAGTAAAGTTCTTTCCAGAAAAACAAAACAAACAAAACCCCAATTCATAAAGTATAGAACAAGTCCACTAAATACTGGGGAGTCTAAGGTACAAAGTGATCAAAAGATAAACTATGAAGTAGAAATAGCCTATGTACTCCAACTTACTGAACATACCTCTACACTGGAAAATCCTGGAGAATTTTTTCCTCAGATGTTTTTTAAAAAACATGTGACTTTGGGGCACCTGGGTGGCCCAGTTGATTAAACATCCAACTCTTCATTTTAGCTCAAGTCATGATCTCAGGGTCTTGAGATCAAGCCCTGCCTGGGGCTCTGTGCTCAGAGGGGAGTCTGCTTGAGATTCTCTCTCTCCCTCTGCCCTTCCCCCTGCTCGCCCATGTATGCTCTCTCTCAATCTCTCTCTCTCTCTCAAATAAATAAGTCTATTTTTAAAAATGTGATTTTGGGGCACCTAGGTGGCTCAGTCAGTTAAGTGTCTGCCTTTGGCTCAGGTCATGATCTCAGGGTCCTGGAATCGAGCACCCTGTCGGGCTCCCTGCTCATCGGGAAGTCTGCTTCTCCCTCTCCCTTTGCCCCTCCCCCTACTTGTGCTGTCTCTCTAATAAATAAAATCTTAAAAAAAAATTAAATTAAAAAAATGTGACTTTAAGAATGGATTTATGTAAAAGAATACTGATGTGTAACTCAGCAGTTAGGCAGTTACAATGCTGTTATTTAATAAAACCCACTTCCATCTTTCATCTGTAAATGGGTTATATCTGTGGTAGAATACTTGTAACTTTTTCTGTTTTTAGTCAATTCCTTTACTATGAAATGTCATTTAGAAAAGTTTTTTATTTTTATTTGTACAATAATTTTTAACATTTTATTAATTTTGCTGTGGAAAATAAAATTCCATCTTACAAGAAAGAGAAACTCCTCAAGACCAAACGCTGGCATCTTTATTTATATATTAGAGCGGGTCAGCCAGTGAAAATCCTAGAAAAAGAAAAGACAACAAACATTCATTAAAAAGAATTAATTGCCTCAAACTCTATCCTCACTGTTTTCCTTGTTCTAAAATCTAAAAGTCCCATTATATATCCACATTTAGGTTTGTCTTTGGTCTTGTGCTTTTCTCAAAAGGAAGCTAAAAATTCATACTGAACCTTGCTGTCTTGTCCTACAAAACAACTATGAACAGTAATCAGGGCACAAACACTAGAATCTGAAAGAACCAGAATTAAATTCAAAAGAAGAAAGGACATGAAGGAAGGCCAAAGAGGGCAAGCTCCCAAATCTAAGAACCTGGGTAGGAAGAGCAGTGCACAGAAGCCTTCCCCAGGACTAATACCATCCTACACATGTGGCTGGGACATGGTGACTGCAGAGAATTAGGTCCTCTCGATATTGTAATAGGAAGCAGCCAGCCTACCCTACACTGCGAATCAACACATGGCAGATGGACACACAGACAATGAAAAATGAACAGCTTGGAAACTATAATATGTGTGGAATTCACTGAAATGAGGACAAATAATGTTGAAATGATAGATTCAAGAAATATAAGGATAATCCTTATGGAGTTATAACAGAGGAGACAAGAACTTGTATTTCTCCAGTAATACCTCCCCAAATTCATAGAGAACTTGGAGAATAGATCATTAGAAGCAGATCATTAGAAATGTGAATTCACTAGCGAGAGGGGACAATTCATTAGGGCTTTTCTGTGACTAACACGGTCTCAAGACTGTCTATTTTGTGTGTGTGTTCTGAATATAGCTGTTAAATCCATCTGTTCTAATGTGTCATTTAAGGCAATGTTTCCTTATTGATTTTGTGTCTGGATGATCTACCCATTGATGTAAGTGGGGTGTATTAAAATCCCCTATTTTAATCCACTATTATTGTAGTGCTATTTCTCCCTTTAGGTCTGTTAATATTTGCTTTATATATTTAGGTGCTCCCATGTTGTGTGCATAAATATTTACAAATGTCGTACCTTCTTTTTGGATTAACCTGTTAATCACTCTGCAGTGTCCTTGTCTTTTTTTTTTTTTAAAGATTTATTTATTTATTTGAGAGAGCGAGAATGAGAGAGAGAGAGTACATGAGAGGGGGGAGGGTCAGAGGGAGAAGCGATGCGGGACTCCATCCAGGGACTCCAGGATCATGACCTGAGCCGAAGGCAGTCGCTTAACCAACTGAGCCACCCAGGCGCCCTTGTCCTTGTCTCTTATTACAATATTTGTTTTAAAGTCTATTTTGTCTGATATAAATATAGCTATTCCAGCTTTCTTTTGGTTTCCATTTGCACGGAATATCTTTTTCCATCCCTTCACTTTCAGACTGTGTGTCCTTACATCTGAGCTGAGTCTCCTGTAGATAGCATATAGGTGGGTGTTGTTTTCTTATTCATTCAGCCACTCTTGATTGGAGCATTTAGTCTACTTACAGTAAAGGAATTACAGATAAATATGTACTTCTTGCCATTTTGTTAATTGTTTTCTGGCTATTTTGTAGTTCTGTTCCTTTCACCAAAGTCTCTGATATCTGTTTTTTGGTTTTTTTTTTTAAGATTTATTTATTTATTTGAAAGAGAGAGAGAGTACACACGAGCAGGGGGAGGGGCAGAGAGAGAGAGAAGCAGATTCTCTGCAGAGCATGTAGCCCTACACTGGGCTTGATCTCAGGACCCTCAGATCATAACCTGAGCCGAAATCAAGAGTCTGACGCTTAACCAACTGAGCCACCCAGGTGCCCCTCTGATATGTTTCTATAGAAAAAGAATTTTTGTAGAGTTTTATATATTTTATAGTTTCCAAATTAGTTAATTTACATTTAACTGATTGTCCAGGCATCCATTTGCCTACTGGTCTACTACCTTATTCAAAAAAGGAAAAGAGGGGTACCTGGGTGGCTCAGTCGGTTAAGCATCTGCCTTCAGCTCAGGTCATGATCTCAGGATGCTGTGATCGAGGCCCACTTGGGCTCCCTGCTCAGCAGGGAGTCTGCCTCCTCCTCTCCCTCTGCCCCTCTTCCCTGCTCATGTTCTCTCTCTCTCTCTCAAATAAATAAATAAAATCTTAAAAAAAAGAAAATAAACAAAAAAGAAAAAGATCTTGCAGCATACATATGTATAAAGAACCAAGACAGAAACACCTTGAAAAAATGATCTGCTCTGAAAACAGTGACTGATACACGAGGTGTAAGCATGGAAGACAGGTATAGAAGAGAGGGCAAGTGGCAGGACCAGGATCAGAGCACAAAATTTAGTATGAAAAGCAACTTAATCTGGGATGGGAGAGGATCATGCTACACATCCTGTCATTTATTTTACTGCTATAATCTATACCGTAGTTTTGCTATGGAGGCCAAAGTAACCAATTTTGAATGTAACTGCACATATCTTCCTATTATGGTCTCACCCTCCCACTGGGCTTCCTTTACCTTCTGCCTCTAGCCACTCTGGCCTTCTTTCAGTTGCTCAGACTTGCCATGCTCCTTGCCGTCAGTCTTCCCTAGCCTCTTTGCTTGAGACTGTCCCTACTTTTCTTTCAGATCTCAGCTTAAGCACAAGTTCCTCTGAGAAGATTTCCCCTGGGACCCCAAAATAAATCAGCTTCCTTCGTAGTATATTTGTTCAGGACTGGGTGGCTTCCTTCAGAGCAACTGCCTCACTTTGTTGTGATGCATTCAGTCGTGAATGCATCACAACCCTCTCCCCTACTGGTCTCTAAGCTCCATTAAGTGAGGGCTGAGTTCAGGTTTGCTCATCAGCTATTCTTAGCAAGTAACACAACACACCTAACACATATCTCAACAAATACTTATTGAAAAAACACAAGAAAGTGCCAAACTCAGAAATGGTTTAGAAAGAACTCTGTGAACAGAGTGTTCTATTTGCTAGATACTTCTGGGCCTAGGATGGAAGATGCATTTCTGATTTCTGCTTAGCAACTGAATTTACCTGGGTCTTCCGTGTGGCTTGCGGCTCAATCATGATATTGATAAGAGAAGGTTTAGTTGTGTCTGCCAAGCTCTGCTTCAGTGATTTTTGGAGTTCTTCTGGTGTTTGTACAAAATACCCTTTGCCTCCAAATGCAGTCATAACCTGCTCATAATGTGAGTTTGGTAGAAGACAGAATGGAGGAGCCCTAAAAAATTCATAAGTTAATAGAAAAAAAAAAAGTCATTTTCTGAAATAATTTATGGAAAAATTTAGGCTGAACTCAAAGGCATACTTTTATGTCCAACACTTAAACAAATATGCCAGTACACTAAACTTTCCATACATATATATATTTTTAAAGATTATCTATTTCGGGGTGGGGGGCGAAGGAGAAGGAGAGAGAGAATCCTCAAGCAGACTCCCTGCTGAGCACAGAGCCTGTTGTGGGGCTCAATCCCAGGACCCCGAGATCATGACCTGAGCCAAAATTAGAGTCAGACGTCCAATTGATTGAGCCACCCAGGTGCCCCTAAACTTTCCATATATTTTTTATTGTCTATATAGCAATGTCCAATAGGACTTTTTGTGATGATAGAAATGTTTTATATTTATATCTGTGGTACCCAATATAGTAACCACTAGCAACCTGTTGCTGTGAGCACTTGAAATGTGACTAGTTAAAATAAGGAACTGACTTTTTAATTTAATAACCACACATGGCTACTGGCTACTATATTGAACAGTGCAAGCTATGCCATCAACTACCATGAACCCAAAATAAAAAGAAGAAAAAAAGGAATGGTTATTGCAAAATATAGCAAATAACAGCAAAATGAGAACTGAAGTTAGTGAAGCATAAGCAAACATACTCACACCCTGCTCCACCCCAGAGTGAGCAAATTCACGACTCGTAGCATGGCCAGCTAAATACTGTCTCACTTTGACTCTGCCATCAGATAATCAAGAGTTTGTTAAGTAATAAAGAGAAGGAAGACCTCTGGATCATAAAGAATATGTTAACATTCATTTCTTCCGTGGTGTAATAGGAATAGAAGGACTGGCAGCATTTTGCAACAAGCCCTTTCATTAAAGCTCAGACATCAAACTTAACTGTCCCAAGTCTTCAGTGGCCCCCTGATCATAAATTATTTATTGAAGCACCCTATCGTGCACTGGGTGTTACATGTGGGTGATGAATTACTAAATTCTACTCCTGAAACCAATATTACACTATGTTAACTAACTAGAATTTAAATAAAAATTTGGGGAAAAAAAAAAAGAAAATGAAAAAAAATGAAGCACCCCATTACGAATGGTTGTACAAAGGGGAGTCATGCAGATAGGGTTCCTACTCTTTAGAGGGGCTGACAATATAAGTAAACAATACTCACATGACAGGCACATTTCAATACAGCAGACTCTTTAAGGAGAGATTAAAATAGATGAGAGAAATTAAATACACATTGTTCTGGGTTACTTACACTGCAGTAGCATCTCCAAATTTTAACATTTCCTTCCAAGAATCTGCATCAAAACCTTGGTAAATTCCATTATTATTCACCACCAAAAGTACAATGGGCAAGTTGTACCTAAATTTGAAAGCAAAATATCAAGGAAATCATTCTTCATTCTAAAGCAGTTTCTTCAGGTTGAAATTTTAACTTATAAATGGATAGTTTTCCATAAGCTTGTTTTATAGTATTAGGGTAATACTAAAAATTAAGTACTTGTTATCCTAATAAGGAATATCAAGTCATTAACAGAAACATGGAGTCACAGAAAGGATGTAAGATTAGAGGTCGGCACACTTGGTTCTGCCACCATGCACCTGTGGACCTCACAGAGCTTTTCTGAACTTGGTTTTCATAGATCCAGGTGTTAATAAGAATGACACCTTCCAAATTTAATATTCTCTGAAGCACCACTTCTAGGTGGTGCCTAGTAGTACTATTTGGAAAGTATCTTTCTATTTACTGAGCTCCTCATAGATAACTAGCACTTGCTAGATGCTGTCGGAAATATACAAGTGACTAGCATACATTCTCTTCTCTCAAACCACTTCACCCAAAATTAGAAAAACATTATATGGTGTAATAAATAGAGAAAAAGAGAATATTTAATAATGTGCTAAATGGTATTATAAAGACAAAAAAAGATGATTAAACTTCATTAATGACTGACAAAAGAACATGGGATTTATTTTCTACAGACCTAATTTCTGAGACCAGGTGTAAAAATAAAACTAAAATGCATACTGTTACATAACAGGATTGTGGTAACTACTTGCTCTCCATGCTCAAAGGGAATCATGACTCTCTAGAAGGCCAGCTTTCCCATAAATCATCTTTTTGGTGTGTATCACTTGTCTGTCAATACAGACACTCTAACAAGTACATACTTTCCCTCTGATCTTTAAAGTGTTATATGCCAAAGCTCTGAAAGCCCCCAAAACATGATTTACAAACAAGCTCTAGTAAGAGTCCTGGCTAAGAATACAGAATGATTTTACCACAGTTTGAATAACTAGGGAGAAAAAATATATACTTATATAGTAGGATCTATAGCTCATGAGTTTCTCCATGAATCCTCACAACTAGAGACAGAATCAACAGCTCACACTGAGTGAGCAGTCATCTTGAGCTTTATCTAGATTACCTCATTTGTTCCTCACAACTGTCCTCTAAGGTTGGAACTATTACTATTCCTCTCCCTATTTCAGAGGAGACTAAAGCTTAGTAAAGGAACTTAACCTGCATCACCCGCATCACCTGGCTCTGATGTGGTCAAGCCAGTATTTAAATTCAGGCCATGTGACCCAGAGGCTGTATTCTTAACCACAAAGCTCTGCTGTCTCCCTGCAGAAAACAAGCTTTTCTCAGACCAGAACTTTTTGCAGTGATCTCAAAACCACTCATCACAGTTTTGCAGGTTTGGGCAAATGTAATAAAGGGTCATGAACACACTAACCTGGATGAGAAAGATGCTGGGGTTATTTCATACCAGTATTCTCAGGACGCAGCACAGAGCTATGTACAAGGGCCCTTGGCACATGGTGAACACCTGGTAAGCACTGTTAGGCGAGTGAGTCTTTATGTGTAATTTTTTATATTTTGGAGAAAGAAAATGCTGTTTTACCTGCAGACGGTTTCCACCTCCATGCCAGAAAACCCAAATGCACTGTCTCCCTCCACACAGATGACACGTTGCCCTGGGTTTCTATCTTTAGCCACTATAGCAGCTGCAATGGCAAATCCCAAACCAACTCCCATTGTTCCAAAAGTACCAGCATCGAGCCTGTTGGGGAACAAAGCTAAAATGAAACCCTCTGGGGCATGCTGAGGGTGGGGTTGGCACAAATCGAGTCATATTTGTGTGTAAAATAAAGAACAATAAAAACATTCTCTGTCTTTAATATAAAGTTTTTAGATTATGAGGAACCAATTAGTCAAGGATAAGCAGAATGGGTGGAAAAAGTCTCTCATGATTGCTTGAAAGACTACGAATATACTAAGTATACAAATTATCACATGATCATGAAGACATATCAAGCATAAAGACTCTACCAAATCTTACCTAAGAATACTTTTATGAAATATGTCCTTATACACTGAATATGTGTAATTCTCAAATGTTTTATGAACCTGCACTACTATAGCTTCCAATTTAACACATTATAATTTCTTTCCTGGAAGCCTCACCTGTGACGAGGAAGGTAGTTCTGAATCACAGTGCGTCCAATATCCATAGTATTTGCTCCTTCGCTTACCACAAAACAGTCTCTGGGTAGTTGTTCTTGAACATGGTAGAATACTGTGTAATAATTCATAGGCAGGGATTTTTGGGAAGCTAATTCCTAAAGTATTTGAGGGAAATATAATCAAATTAGATTGAGATACAGTGAAAAATTAGCAATGTCAATAAGCTACTACCAAACTTATTTGGAAATAGGCAACAAGAACGAGCTACGAGGTTCCCAAATCACCACCCTGAGAAGCTAGTGGATCTGTGAACAGGCCTGTGGGACATGCTAAGAAAAGGGGGACCCACAGACCCAGTTTGGGACACAATCAAATAAACCAGGGAATAGCTTTCTTCCTGGACACCCACCAGGCACAATAGCATACTAGAGTGAGACAAGTCCTACAGTAAAGATAGCTGGAAACACTGGGTTAAACAAAACTAAACAGTCTTATTTGAGCACTTTTAAGAAAACACTGCATTACAAAACATAAAAATTTTATTCTAGAATATTTTAATCTGAAATATGCCCTTAAACTTAAAATAAAAATGAAGTCAGGATTCTAGAAAATCTGAAAATCTGGTTCTTCTCCAACATGCACTGGAGAGTAAAGAGGATATGCTTCACCCACTATTCCAAAGAGTCTCTGAATGGAGCAAGGTAAGTGCCTTTGTCTAGCTATATGCCTTCTAGAGTAGAGAGAGAGAGAGACACATGGGGCTTCAGCAGCAACAATCTCATGTGCTCCCAGCACTGCCTCTCCACTTGTGCTATTCTGGCCTGTTGGAGATTATACGTAAAACGGATGAGGCACCCTCCTATACTCCTGTGCCAGGAAGAGAGGCAAGTTCCTTCCATCTTAAACTAATATGATTCCTAGGGAAAAGAAGGGATTAATCATCACACCATTCAGGAAAACAGAATTGAGCCTGGCTCTTGATAGAAACAGCCACTGATTAAAATTCCAATGAGACACAAAATTACGTATAATTAATTCTGCTAGTTTTGAAAATGTGAATTTATTCCAAGATTTCTGACATATTAGGGAACAATATGAGCATAACTCAAATTTCGTATTTGCTTATGCAGGATTCTGTCAGTGAGAAACACTACATGAACACAGAAAATTGCACCCAGCTGAACCAAGATACGTAGAAATACACAAAACATTGAAAAAAATCAAGAACAACATTTCTCACAAAGAAAAAATTTACCTATATACAAAGACTCTAAACAGAAATCACCACATCCTGCAGAAGTGATTCATTTCACTGCTAGTAGTAGTGGATGATGTGGTAGTTTCACACATTACTACAACTTCCAAAGCCTTTAGATATCAGGCAAAGCCATGAGTGCAGATGAGAAAGTTGCAAAACAATTTCCAGTAGTGATATAAAAATTAATCTGAGGGGCGCCTGGGTGGCTCAGTTGTTAAGCGTCTGCCTTTGGCTCAGGTCATGATCCCGGGGTCCTGGGATCGAGCCCCACATTGGGCTCCCTGCTCCGTGGGAAGCCTGCTTTTCCCTTTCCCACTCCCCCTGCTTGTGTTCCCTCTCTCGCTGTGTCTCTGTCAAATAAATAAAAATCTTTAATTAAAAAAAAAAAGTTAATCTGAAAGGGCCATAAATGGTCTCCACCAAAAAAAGAAAAGAAATGTGAGGTGATGGATGTGTTAATGAAGTAGTTGGGGGAGGGGGGAATCCTACCACAATGTATATGCATATAAAATCACCATGACGTACCTTTAAATATCTTACAATTTTGTATGTCAATTATAGCTCAATATCGCTGAAATTTTTTTAACAAAGAAAAAGAAGGCTGTGTATTAGATCAAATTTTCAATTTTGATGAAACACTTATTATACATGCCTGCTTGAAGGACTTTTATCTTAATGGTATAAAAATATGCTCCAAGATACAAGGTTCCAAAAGATGTCTTAATTATGATTTGGGGCCAAGGTCAAACTGAGGACAGTGAGCTCTACCCATTCATATAGGTTCTTAAAATTTTCTGTCCAATGTCAGATTGGTCTCCTTCTACCACTTCACACTAATTCAACAAGTTGCAACCCTTCCAATGCCTACTTCCACAAGAGACTTCAGGTCTTCTTCAAGGAAAAGCATTTATTGAAATATATATTTCTTAACCACTTAACATGTATAAAACTTTGCCATCATTTTTATTTATTTACTGAAGATTTATTCATTTATTTTAGAGTAAGAGTGTTGGCGGGCACGCATGTGTGTGCACAAGTTGGGGGGAAGGGGCACAGAGAGAGCGAGAGAATCTCAAGCAGACTCCCCTCTGAGCACAGAGCCCAAGGGGGGCTCGATCCCAAGACCCTGAGATTATGACTTTAGCTGATACCAAGAGTCACACACTTGACCGACTGAGCCACCCAGGCGTCCCTCTGCCGCCATTTTTATTAGGTTCCTATCTTAACGTTTCACAAGGTTTTTGAGAGCTGTGCCTCTAAACCCTTTTTCCCATGAGCCCTGTGGTTTTTACTGCATGATTTCATATAGCGTGGTGATTTTAGGAATGCACAGGTCATATTATGACAGGGCTAACTGAGCCATGAACCAGAAGTGGTCTTGAGTTTCTGTGAATCTCAAATTACCTTGGAAGCAGCTTCATTGATCTTCATTTTTTCTCTCAGAGTTTGCCACCAGCTGCTCTCTGGAGGATACTGCCATGGTGTTTTATCAAACTGTTCTAAAAGCTAAAAAACCAGACTTTTTATTTTTTGAAAATAAACTTAAGTCATATTAACACAACAATCTCTTATTAAAGAAGACAATACTGTTATACTATCCTGCCATTCACATCACTCACACTGTTTTTCCTCTAGGCAGCTAACAACTGATAAATAGGCAACATGGAAAGCTTCTGTTTGGGTCAGTGTGGACTTCCACCAAAAGTTGGAATTTCCATAGAACACAGGGGAAATGCTACCTTCTCCACACCTCACAGGCAGGGGCTTTTATGCCCTCCTCAGCCTTTGACGCTAGAAGGAAAATCATAGAATCCTTGTGGGAAGGACAACAACCCCAAATACCCAGGGATTCCTGAGATACAGACCAAATGCTCCAGGATGATTTAATATGTGACTGAGGGATGCTTCATAATATTATATAATCATGATAACAATACCAATTTGTATCCAAAATCAAGTAATAATTGTGACTATATTTTATCTCCTGTTACAGTGATATATATAAATTATGTACAAATAAAAAGAATCTGGACAAGTCACTAAGTACCATTTGAAGAGTAAAAATCTCTTTATTTTCTAAAGAAATACTTAGATTTTTCCAGTACATAAAGACATTTCTTGGCTCTAAGTTCAGTTCTTCTGGAAGCTGTATTATAATTTTTCAGACAGCTGAATCCTACTTAGTAACTATCACTGTTTGCCCACTGAATGCCTTTAAGTCTTAATTGCCTTCCAAAAATGCTTAATTTACATAAAAATGATCTATATATAAGCAGTTGATTTAGTGAGTTCCAAAGTTATATTTAAGAATAGCTTTCCATCATAAATTTTATTTAAAATAGATATTAATAAACCTGTCACCAAGTGAATCAAGGTTGAAACATTTTTAGGAACTGACCAATCCCTAAAGACCAATCCACATAAACTAAAACCTAGGCAAACGCTCTTACCTGTTTAGCGATAGCATTTATGTCTCCTAGCAAAGTCACAGCAGGCTTTACATTATTCCCCAATTCTTCTGCACAGATATCAACCTAAAAAAGAGATAAAGCTTAAGAACGAGCCATGCTTATTCTTAAAAATCTCAAAGAAGTCAATTAAGGCTGAATAAATGAACTGAAGATTTGATATTCAGGAAATTTTTTTTCTAAGTAGGCTCCACGACCAGAATGGACCCCAATGCAGGGCTTGGATTCATGACCCTGAGATCAAGACCTGAACCGATATCAAGAGCTGGACATCCAACCAACTGAGCCACCCAGGCGCCCCAAGAAATTCTTAATAAAAGTAAAAATCCATAGAACTATGAGTATCACAGCTAGGACAGAAACCTCATCATCTTCCTTCATTTTAATATCTACTCTGTAGATCCGGGTATTGTTCTATTATACACAAAGGAATGCATTTGACTTGACCAATTATAGTTTTTTAATCTAATCAATAAGGTTCTACTTAATTACACTGGAATTGCTACTTAGAGCAGTTCTCAAATGTGAGCTATCAGAATCACCTGGTAGCCTTGTTAAACCACAGATTGCAAAAGTCCACTTGAGTTTCTGAACTCAGTAGATCTGAAGTGGGGACCAAAAATGTGCTTCTTTTTTTTTTTTTTTTTAAAGATTTTATTTATTTATTTGAGAGAGAATGAGAGACAGCATGAGAGGGAAGAGGGTCAGAGGGAGAAGCAGACCCCCTGCTGAGCAGGGAGCCTGATGTGGGACTTGATCCCAGGACTCCAGGATCATGACCTGAGCCGAAGGCAGTCGCTTAACCAACTGAGCCACCCAGGCGCCCAAAAATGTGCTTTTCTAACAGGTTTCCCAGGTGGTGCTATGCTGCTGGTCCAGGGACCACATTTTGAGAATTACTCCTAGGGTAAGGCATGATTATTTCCCATTTACCCAGAAGCTCCATATCTGAATGGCCATGGGCAAGTGAAAATCGTTGTGCAAGGAGTTGTAATTTAGCCACATCAAAGGGGATGCACTTTATTCTATACTCAAGGGGATTAATCAAGAGGTGGTAACATCTTCCAGGTAAACCCAGGTCTTGCTTATTTGCAGCGTTAGTTCTCCATAGCTCCAGGGGGAAAGGGCCTGTTAGAAGCTGACTCCTTAAAAAGTAAAAGGCAAATAGGGAGAAGATAGCAATTGTAGCTGGGTCATCAAACACCATACACAATCTCTGTAGGGCAAACAGGTTCATATGGCACTATATAGACAGTACCTTCTTTTTTTTTTTTTTTTAAAGATTTTATTTATTCACTTGAGAGAGAGAGATAGCAAGAGATAGAGCACGAGCAGGGAGAGAGGGAGAAGCAGGCTCCCACCAGGCAGGGAGCCCAATGTGGGGCTCGATCCCAGGACCCCAGGATCATGACCCGAGCTGAAGGCAGAAGCTTAACCAACTGAGCCACCCAGGCAGTAGTACCTTCTACACCAGTAAGGAAACTGCCTTAAAAAGAGAATCATAATGATACAAGAACCATTAAAGTGAGGTCAGAGTATATTCCACTCTGTTTAGTGACAAGTAAAAGCAGCATTTAGAGATTTCCAACCAAAGCGTGTTTGAAAAATTTGGCATCTAAAAGGACAACTCAATCCCTAACAATGTTGAATGTTTTGCTGTAATCTACCATTCTATTTAAACCCCTTTTGTCTACCTTTAAATAAACCTGAACTATGAAGAAGAGGCAAATTGTGCTTTTCAAACTATTTAAAACTTGGTTTTGAAAGGTTTTCTGGTTAGAAGTAAAGCAGCATATTATGTTTCATAGGCTTGAAAAGGCAGCTTACTTTGGTACCTGTAATTATGTTAGGTAATTTATAAAAATCTACAAAAGCCAAGAAGAAAGCAGAGCTGATAATAGCTGAGGAGAACAGTAAATCACAGCGCTGATTTTAAATCTCTCTGCTCTGAGTACCTGGATAAACTTCACATCTGGCTGATACCTTGGGGGCAGTCCGAAGTGCAAAATCCAATTTAATCTGGCACCAAATAATACGATTACATCAGCAAACTGCAAAGCCCTATTAAAAAGAAAAATCTGTTATGATATAAAAAGTGTATCTACATTTCTGACTTGAATTATTCTAAAATTAATTTCTAAACTTTTCTAAAAGTATTTAGAAAAGTTTAAATAATCTGGAGTTTATTTTATTTTACTCTTCAGAATCAGCTTCTAGGGTAAATTTGATCTTTCAAACCAAAATAATTATGAAGCCAATTCTATTTAAATAGTAATCTAAAAGATGAAATAAGAAGAAAAATATTATAAAACTATACCTATTTCATTATTACTTTTTAAATTTTTTTAAAATTTTTTTTAAAAATTATTTTTTTTAATTAACATATAATGTATTATTTGTTTCAGGGGTACAGGTCTGTGATTCATCAGTCTTACACAATTCACAGTGCTCACCATAGTACATAGCTTCCCCAATGTCCATCACTCAGCCACCCCATCCCTCCCACTCCCCTCAACTCCAGCAACCCTCAGTTTGTTTCTTGAGGTTAAGAGTCTCTTATGGTTTGTCTCCCTCTCTGGTTTCATCTTGTTTCATTTTTCCCTCCCTTCCCCTATGATCCTCTGCCTTGTTTCTCAAATTCCACATATCAGTGAGATCATATGATACTTGTCTTTCTGACTGACTTATTTCACTTAGCATAATACCCTCTAGTTCCATCCACATTGTTGCAAACGGCAAGATTTCATTTTTTGATGGCTGCATAATATTCCATTGTGTAATGGAATATTATGGTATATGTATACCACATCTTCTTTATCCATTCATCCATTGATGGACATCTAGGCTCTTTCCATAGTTTGGCTTTTGTGGGCATTGCTACTATAAACATTGGGGTGCACGTGCCCCTTCAGACCACTACATTTCTTTCTTTGGGGTAAATACCCAGTAGTGCAATTGCTGGGAAAAATTACTACAAGTCTACTGTAGATAATCTCAATAAAACAGAAAAAGCATAAAGAAAAAGAATTTCACCCAATAATACTATCAACTTAAAAGCTATTATCAATAGCCTGCCATATTTTCCTCTAGTCTTCTTTCTATGCAAGTATATTTTTACATAGTTGAGCTTATATGCTATAATACTGTCTCATGTACTTTTGCTTATTACATTTTCCTTTGTCATTAGGTTCTTCTTAAAATTTTTATTTTTTTATTTTTTTAAGTTTTATCTTACTTTTTTAAAGTAATCTCTACACCCGATGTGGGGCTCAAACACAACCCTGAGATCAAGAGCCCCATGCTCTTCGACTGAGCCAGCCAGGCACCCCTTAAATACAATTTTGAAAGGCTATATACTTTGCAGAACACATATATGTAATTTATTTTAACTTTTCTCAATTACTGGATAATTTATAAATACTGGGTTGTACGTCCTTTTTTTTTTTTTAAGATTCTATTTATTCATCTGAGAGAGAGAAAGAGAGAGAGAGCACACACAAGCGGCGGGGAGGGCAGAGGCAGAGGGAGAAACAGACTCTCCACTGAGCAGGGAGCCTGATGCAGGGCTCAATCCCATAACCTCAGGATCATGACCTGAGCCAAAGGCAGATGCTTAACTGCCACCCAGGTGCTCCTGGTTTGCATATCCTTATGCTTGAATCTTTTAAGATTTTATTTATTTGACAGAGAGAGAGAGTGAGAGCAGGAACACAAGCAGGGGGCGTGGGAGAGGGAGAAGCAGGCTTTCCACTGAGCAGGGAGCCCGATGTGGGGTTCGATCCCAGGACCCTGGGATCATGACCTGAGCTGAAGGCAGACGCTTAACGACTGAGCCACCCAGGTGCCCCTATGCTCGAATCTTAATACATATTTCATATTGATTCCTAGAAACAGGTATTTTTAAGACAATTGATTCATATTCCCAAATTGCATTCAAAAATCTTCACCAAATTTATTGCTAATAGTTTTTTTATATATCTTAATATCCTTGTCAATATAACTTCTAATTTTTAAAAATAATTTTTACTTTGATATCCACACTAATATTAACATAGCCATCTTTGTTTTGTTTTTATTTACCTCATACATCTTTGCTCATTTTATGCTGTATCATTTGTTTCAGATGTTGTTCTAATAATATATATATATGCAACTGTCATTATTATTGACCCAATCAATAATGTCTCTGCCTTTCTACAGAAGAGTTTATTAATTGCTGTGGGTTTTTTTTTTTTACTTCTCATTTTTCTGCTTCTTGGCTATTTCCCTTTTATCCTATATTTTTCCACAGGGGATCTGTTCTTTTGCTTTTGTCTTCTTCAGTGATGATATCATACACAAAATACCATTTTCATATACTGTTATCGGTCCTGTGGGACCCAATTTAACAAACAGATAAAAACTACAACTGAAAGGATAGATTTGTTTAATGATACTTGAAATTACTGATTCAATTATTTACAGCAAGTGGCTTTTTTACACTCTAGTTCTGGGAATGAACGGGCACATGTCTGGGGCTCACACCTGGGCTGTGTATGTGTGGACAGACCCAAAGGAACATAGCAAAGGCTTTGAAACTAGCAAGACAGACCTTGAAGTCTGAACTTAACCAGTTTGTTAACTTAACTGCTTGCTAAAACAAAGTCAACATTCCACAGAGTATGTAAATATGACCTAGAATCTTCAAACATAATACTTAAAATCTAGGATACATTCCAAAAATACTCAATATACAAAAGAACCAGAAAAATGTGACCAATTCTCAAAAGAAATGAACAGACTCCCATTCTGTGATGACCCAGATGTTGAAATTAGTAAACAAAGACTTTAAAGCAGCTATTATAATATGCTCCATAAAGTAAACAAAAATACTCTTCAAATAAATGGGAAGATAGAAGTTCTCAACAGAGAAATATAAAATATGAGACAAAAGCATTGGAAAGAACTAAACAGAGAACATAGCATAATGTACAGAGATTTTAAATCACTATGGTGTACACCTGAAACTAATGCCCATTGTATGTCAACTATACTTCAATTAAAAGATAAATAGAAGGTTTATTTAAAAACAAATAAAAATAAAAAGAACATTTCATATAAGAAATTTCTAATAGGGGTGCTCGGGTGGCTCAGTCGGTTAGACATTCAATGCTCAGGTAATGATCTCAGGGTCATAAGATCAAGCCCCCTGTTGGGTTCCATGCTGGGCGTGGAGTCTGCTTAAGATTTTCTCTCTTCCTCTCCCTCTGCCCCTCCCCCCTGCTCACTCTCTCTAAAATAAATAAATCTTAACCAAAAAAAAAAAAAAAAGAAATTCTAATAAACTACTTCAAAGACGAAAAAAAAAAAGAATTGAACAGATATTCAGGGACCTATGGGACAGTATCAAAAGTCTTCTATTTGCATTATCCCAGGAAAGGAGAAAGAGATCGGTGTAGAAAAAAAATTTGAAGAAATAATGGCCAAAAACTACAAATTTGGTGAAAGACATTAATTTATAGATTGAAGATCAGAGAACAGGATAAACTAAAAGAAAACCATACCCAGACACATAATCAAACTGCTGAAAACTAAAGATAAAGAAAAATCCTGAAAGCAGCCACAGAACATATTACATATAGAAGAACAATGATTCAAATGACTACAGATTTCCCATCTAAAACCATGAGGGTCAGAAGGTAGTAGACAACATCTTTTAAAGCTCTGAAAAGTCTAAAAACCCTAAAAACAGGTGTGCTGAAAATTACATTTCAGAACTTCTCCTAGATTCATTAAAGTCACGAAATAAATTAGCCTAAGATCTGCCAAGCCACTGTACTTAAACTCTAGAATGCCACGCACCTGGATCTGGCAGCACCCACACAGTTTGGATGGTTATCAGGGATAACGCCCTTTCCCATGGGGGTGGGCAGAAATGGCAATTTACATTGCTCCACCAATTTCCTGAGGGCCTCCTCTGCATGGGCATAAGCAGCACCTACAAGCAATGCAAATGATTCCACAAGTCAGTTATGGTCCAGGCACTGTGATTCCTTTTTTTTTTTTTTTTAAAGATTTTATTTATTTATTTTGACAGAGACACAGCGAGAGAGGGACCACAAGCAAGGGGAGTGGCAGAGGGAGAAGCAGGCTTCCCACGGAGCAGGGAGCCTGATGCAGCGCTCGATCCCAGGACCCTGGGATCATGACCTGAGCCACCCAGGTACCCCATGGCACTGTGATTCTTAAAACAGCTCATACGAATTTGCTTTTAGAACTTCTCAAATAATCTCTTGTTTATACAGGGCTTGCTTACACTCAAAACAAACTGTAACTATGGTTTTTATCTTTGGTATTTTAAAATGTTTAAGAAAGCCACAGTTCTAATTTCCTCCCCAATAATATTCTCAATTATTCTGAAGGATGTGTACTACAAACAAAAGTTGCATCTCTTCTCTCTTGCTGCTCTGAATTGTCTGTTCTATGGTTCCTACTGAATTACTACTCACGATTCCCTAAATACAGTATCTTTACTGACAGGCCCAGGTGGGCAAGGAAGGACTTTGCTCTGACAGAGAGGCTCTCTCTAACCTCACACATTGCTTCCTACCATCAGCTAACGTGGACTGCACAGTCTCCTACCCTAGGCATGGAAATTCTAACAAGAGACGTTAGTTTAGTACATTCAGATTCAACATAATGCTCCCCCACATAAAAATACCTTTAAATCTTTTCTCATACATGTCAGATGAAAAATAGAAAGTTTCCTTGTATTCTCTTTCTTGCCTCAATATCTTTGTCCATCCAGTTCTCTCTTCCTGGACTGTGCACTCAGTGACCTATCATCTATCTAGTCAAGGTGTAGCAGTGTCATCTCTTCCAGAGTCTTTCTATACCACCTACACGAGCAAATTGTTGCTGCTTCCCTTGAGAATCCACCTTACCCTCTCTATACACACCACTTATGGGTACACTGCACTTATTTGTTACTAATCTATCTCTAGGTAGGGACCATTATTCCTCTGTATATCTTACAAATGTTTTCTATAATCCCTACCTTATCGTAAGTACTCATCAAATGCTGGTTAAAAGAAGAATGAAAACTAGCATCTACTGAGTTCCTTCTACCTATCTTATTATTTAATCATAACAATCCTGTTGAAGTTAATATCTGTTTTACAACTGAGGTAATTGAGACTCAAAGTAGTAGTTTGCCAAGACCACAGAGCTAATACAGCATACAGCTTCATTCGACTCAGCTCTGACTTTGATTTTTTTCTATTGTCCACAATTTTCATTAAAATTATTTTTAGTTTCTATGTAGTTAGTTCCTCAGTAGTTGATAATTGACTAACATGGTCATAGGTGACTCACAGCCCCCTCAGTTCTAGAACATTTAATGGATAACTTGCTGACAGGAGTATAAGTTGGTACAATACCTTGGGAGAAAGCAATTTGACAATATGTACCAAAACCCCTAAAATATGAATTACCTTTTAACTTAATTTTCTTTTTGGGAATCTATCATAAATTGTAAATATGGAAAAAGCTTTAAGCACAAACATGTTTGTCACAGCTATACTAAACAAACAAAAAACTGGCAAAGATTTAAATATCTGTCAGTGAAGTGTTAGTATATACATGAATAGACCTTAAAATTATATTTAGGAAAAAACTTCAAGACCATGAAGAAATGTTGTTACAATATTAAATGAAATAAAATGTAAATAAAACTGTCTATATGGTGTGATCACAATATATGAAATATACATGCAGAAATGAATAGAAAAGTATTACATGTTAAAAATAGTTGTTTTTTTTTTTTTTTTTGAGAAAGAGAGCGTGCATGAGGGAGGGGAGAGGGGCAGAGAGAGAGAGGAAGAGGAAGAGAATCTTAAGCAGGCTCTGTGGAGCCCGATGTAGGGCTTGATCTCACAACCCTGAGATCATGACCTGAGCTGAAATGAAGAGTCAGACGCTTAACCAACTGAGCCACCCAAGCGCCCCCAAAACAGATATCTTTGGTTGAAGGGATTTCTTCTTTCTAATCTTCTGGATTTTCCAATATTTTTTATAATGATCAAATATTATTTTTATAATGGAAAAAACACATTTTACACATAAGACTGAAGAAACAGAATGGGTGATACTCTTTTAAAAGGGCAAGATCTCTGGGCATTCTAGAATAATTCTGTGATAAATTAGTAAATAATCCTAAATGAAAAGAACTCACACTCCGATTTCAAATATTAGATATGTTAATAAATAATGAAGATAATTTCTAAACAGAATCAGTATTCTTTCAACAGCCTAGCAAGATTTAGAGTTCCACTCGCTGCTACCTTTCCCGATGATAAGAAGGGGCTGTCTGGCATTTCTAATAACAGATGCGGCCATGTACACAGCAGAGGTTTCTGCCATACTAACAGGAGGTGGCATGCAGCACTCCACATACCTGGAAATAAAGAGCTCTGTTAATTAAAAGAGGCCAAGTTTTAAACTTTTTACTATGAAAATACCAAATATATAAAAAGGTAGGGAAAAAAATAGTACAATAAACTCCATATACCCACCATGTAGATTCAACAACTAATATTTTACCACACTTGCCTCACATATACACACACAAATATGCATATCAATTTGTTTCTTGAACCATTTTAAAGTGAATTATAGGCAATTAAAAGCTCTTCCATGCAGCTCTAAAAGATAAACTTTCTCCTATATAACCATAATGTCCCTACCATATCTAGTAAATTAAGTTACTCCCTAATACCATCTAAAAGCCAATCAAATCAGTAATTCACTGACAGAAAATCTGAGTTAATGGCTTTACACTGTAGTAACAGTTGCTGTAAGAACAGTAAAAACATATTCAGAGCCAGTGTTTAATACTATGTGCCATTTAATCTCATTTAATTTTCAAAGCAATGAGGCCAAGAGCTACCATTATCTCCATTTCACCATTGGCGGGCGGGGAGGGAAACTCAGACAATAACTTGCCCAGGGTCCCCAGATGGTATATGGCAGAAACTGGATTGACCTAGGTCATTCTGTCTCCAAAGTCCATGCCTTTAACTATCTCACTGGGAGAATCAGTATTTTGATAATACAATATGCATTAGGAAAAGAAATTTTAAAACTGTCATAGTTAAATATTTCTGGACACCAAGTCCTCGGTGTTTTATTTTAATTAATAAACATCATACACTGTACAAAATTTGAGCATATAAAACAAAAAAAGACATTCAATCTTTACAAAAATTTTATTTTTTTAAACTTTTTTTTTAAAGATTTTATTTATTTGAGAGAGAGAGAGGGTGTGAGCATGATGGGGTGGGGGGCAGAGGGAGAAGCAGACTCCCCGCTGAGCAGCGAGCCTGATGTGGAGCCTGATGTGGGGTTCAACGTGGGGCTCAATCCCAGGACCCTGGGATCATGACCTGAGCCGAAGGCAGACACTTAACAACTGAGCCACCCAGGCACCCAACCTTTTTTTTTTTTCTTCTTTTTTTTTTTAAAGATTTTATTTATTTATTCATAAGAGACAGAGAGAGAGAGGCAGAGGGAGAAGCAGGCTCCCCGCCAAGCAGGGAGCCCGATGCGGGACTCGATCCCAGGACCCTGGGATCATGACCTGAGCCGAAGGCAGACGCTTAACCATCTGAGCCACCCAGGCGCCCCAGGCACCCAACCTTTACAAACATTCTAAAGAAGGCTTACAGAGTTAACTTACCAGAGACTCAGCTCTGCCTTTCCTCCCCCCAGTAATATTTTATCATGTTCAGGTATTATGCAGGGTAGATGTCCTTTTTGTCTGACTCTCACAAAGAGAAACAACTCTTTGGTATACTGAATATACAGAAATGCACACTGTTTTTCTGCAGTCACTAGAGAACCACTTGGTCCACAACAGCAGGAATATACTAAATGGTACCCGGGATGAGGTCTTAACCTAAGTATCCACCCTTATCAGAGGTGACTTAGATACCAGTGAAAAATTGTTTCTTATACTTATTTGCTCAGTGTTTATTTAAGGAACATGAAAAATCAGAGTAACACCTGAGTGGAATATTTTTAAATCACAGAGACAGACAGAAAGACTAAAGTTTTTTATGCTGAGTCCTAAATAATTTTTCACTGGTCACCTCATCTCTTGGTTTACACTTTGAAGATTCTGAATCACCCCTGCTATGTTAGTGAGGATGTATTATTTATGGCCTCTGGAAGAATAATTTCAAATAAGTGCTCAGGAAGCTTCATGTATTTAACTTAATATTTAACCTCCCAAATAATTACTAAATAATACCATTTTATTTATTTATTTATTTTTTAAGATTTTATTTATTTATTTGACAGAGAGAGACACAGCGAGAGAGGGAACCCAAGCAGGGGGAGTGGGAGAGGGAGAAGCAGGCCCCCCGCAGAGCAGGGAGCCCGATGTGGGGCTCGATCCCAGGACCCTAGGATCATGACCTGAGCTGAAGGCAGACGCTTAACGACTGAGCCACCCAGGCGCCCCTAAATAATACCATTTTAATTAAGAGAATTAAACCCTTTGGCCACGATTTAGTTTAATTATTAAACTGTCAAAAGTTAAGACAAATGAAGATTAACTTATAAACTGCTAGGTAAATTGTTAAAAAGGTAAACATAATAACACAATTAAGAACTTCAGTATAACTATTACTCACTTTACAGAATTCACATTCACTTGCAAGTTCACAAAATCTGCAGGTATGTCAACATAACAAGGACCTGGACGACCATAAATACTGCTTCTCACTGCCTAAATGACAAATAGAAGAAACGATTTTAAAATTCTCAGTCTTTATCACATAATCCACTCAAAGATAATTAAAAATTGTGAAAGGAATACTATTTTATTTTTTTCTGGACATCCACAGTTGGGGAAATAAACAATTTTAACTAAAATTGAAATGCCCTTTATTGATTATATATATTTTTAAAGATATTTTTGTTTAAAAGGGGAGCAACAAGAAAGAAAATACTCACCTAGAGTTTTAAGATTCATGTCATATTATAGTCTTAGAAATTATCCACCAGGCTCTGCCTGCCAAGTGTTTACTCTGTAACATGTGCTTTTACTTGCTTCCTAGTCCTAGTGACTTGGCTAAGTTTTCAGAAACTCTGCATGATGTTATCATATATGTCAAATGGTCTATGTAACACATGGTTTTGAAACAGCTCAAATGTAACTCCACATACAAATGTTGCTTAACTAAGATTAATTTATAACATGCTGTTTAGGCAACTAAGGCATGGTTTTATATGCATTAGTACTACTTTTCAAAACTAAACTTGCAAAAGCATAAGAGAAAGGTTACCCAGGGTTTCATCTTAGCTTTCTTTTTACTTTTCTGTAGTTAAAAAAATAATTTTAAAAACTGAAGGAGAAACTTTTTTCAAAAATAATTTATCTGTTTCTAGAATTGACAGCAAACATTAAAATATAAATAGCTCTTTAATACTATCATTTTTGACTGCCTGAATATATACCAAATTGTTGCTTATTCTGTGGAGAATACAAATAACACAGGTATGAGCAACTGAGAAAAACCAATTGACCTGGAGGACTTATAATTAAATACTTTTACCTTTTCGATAATAGAGGGAATATTTTCTATGCTGCTCGGCCGGGCAGAGAACTTGCTATATAATCTACAAGCTTCAACCTATATGCAGAAAGAAAATCACTTAAAATTCAGCTCACAGATCATATTACTCTTCGGAAGGAAGACAAAATGTTAAATCATTACTTTCTATTATGTGTAGAGAAAAGATGGAGAAAATACATTACCTGGACTGTTTCTTAAAAGCCTAGGCAAAGCCCAAATTTCCACCTCAGTATGATTTAGGAAGTAAATCAAAACAAGACATCATTTTCATTTCTCAGACTGGCAAAAATGAAAGACTTTGATAATACTCAGCATTTACCACCACACAGGAAAGCAGGCACTCTCCTAAGCTGCTGGTGAGAGTATAAATGGGAAGGGAAGTTGATAATGTCCACTAAAAATTAAAATGAGCATATCTCTGGACCCAGAAATTCCACAGCCAGGAATACAAAACTTCACCTGCTTCATCTTGTTACAATTATAATCTATCCTTATTACATTGCTGCCAGTTTTCCTGTTATATATTTTACTGCTATGCTTTTTGGGATGTGTCAATTCAGCAATGCTAATTTTTCACTGTTTAATGCACTCTAAGCAATATATAGAAATGGTGTCTCTTGATACTTTTTGGTATGAAAGTTGGTAGTCTTAGTCCCATGAGCATGATAGAATTAAGATTTTCAGTCTGTTCCTGGTCATGCCATCTAAAGTATTTCCACAAAAAGAGATACTTGGATTTTAAATCAAATCAGTGATTTTCTCTTCACATTTTTAATTTCACCTAATAAACTTTTATTATTTTCCTTTTCAGAAAAAAATATTTGCAGTAGACATTATCCTCTGCTTTCGTTTCATCTATAAAGTTTCTGTAGTAAGTTTAAATTTCTTTTTTTTTTTTTTTAAGTATTTTATTTATTTATTTGACAGAGACAGAGACAGCGAGAGAGGGAACACAAGCAGGGGGAGCAGCAGAGGGAGAGGGAGAAGCAGGCTTCCTGCCGAGCAGGGAGCCCGATATGGGACTCGATCCCAGGACCCTGGGATCATGACCTGAGCTGAAGGTAGACGCTTAATCACTGAGCCACCCAGGCACTCCTAAATTTCCTTTTAAATAACTTATCTGTTCTGCTTATTTTTCAAATGTATTAGCATCTTTTAAATAATGGTTGTTATTCTTTACCATTAACTAAGTAAACTTCAATTCCCTTTCAAGAGGATAAAAGTGTAACTTTTGCATCAACCTATACCAAGATCTAGTATTTTACAATAATTTAAATCATAGAGAAAATTCTATGTTTATATTCTGAGGTTCTCACAATGACTTCTGGATTAACCAGTAGACTTTGCCTAAGGTTTTAACTTTGCTCAGAACTTTGCGCTGGAAATGCGCAAATATTTTCTTAAGAGTTAATCATTCACTCTCACCTATTTGCTTTCTAGAACTATTCTTAAAGCTGTAGCATTCTGTTTTATGCAACTATTTATGAAGACCTCTGTAGTACTTGTAATATATAAAAAAAAGTAAAAAAAGAAAAAAACACAAAAAACAAACCACTATAGAATTTTGTTGACAAATTCTTTTAAGTTTTTAGAAATTTTTAAATATTCTCCTTCAGCCTTCTAAAATAAAAATGAATTTGTCCAGTCTACTGATAGTCATTTTACATAGGACTTTTCCTCTCAACTTTTTACTTCTCTGAAGTTTGGGAGGCATAGTCCCACACCATTTTTATTCCTGCATCTTGACTCTTTAAGAACTTAGTTTCAGAGTTTAAAAACCTGTCAAAAAGATATATCTCTTGGAATACTGCTCCTAAGCAGAGCCTGAGCTCCCTTAATATGCACACTGAGATTGTCTTGTAGTTAAGGAAAATTACCTCTAAATTACCTCAGGTACCTCTGTTTTGTGTATTTTGCAGATAGGAGTTTTTATTTCTTCTCCATAAATCTTATTTATTTATTTATTTATTTTTAAAGGTTTTATTTATTTACTTGACAGAGAGAGACACAGCAAGAGAGGGAACACAGCAGGGGGAATGGGGGAGGGAGGAGCAGGGAGCCCGATGCGGGGCTCGATCCCAGGACCCCGGGATCATGACCTGAGCCAAGACAGACGCTTAACGACTGAGCCACCCAGGCGCCCCTCTTCTCCATAAATCTTAATAGCGTACACTTATGCTACTAAACTCTAAGAAAAATTTTAGAGTGGGTACCTGTGGAAACTCCTGGAAGGCTCCCATCATTTCCTGCCTTCTTTCAGAAGAACCACCAATCACAATCAAGGGCCTGAAATAGTCATTGTTTTAAAAGAGAATTACAGATGAGATCGACATGTAAAATACTCAGGAGAGTGCCCAGTTAAGAAATAGCCATGTATATTGAGAGAGACAGAGAATTTCACTTTCCCTTAAAAACTACAGATTAGGGGCACCTGGGTGGCACACCCGGTTAAGTTCTTGGTTTTGGCACAGGTCCTGATCTCAGGGTCATGAGATCTGAGATTGAGCTCCCCATAAGGCTCTGTATTGGGTGTGGAGTCTGCTTAGGATTCTCTCTCTCCCTCTCCCGCTGCCCCTCCCCCGCACTCGAGAACACGCACCTGCTCTCTCTCTCAAATAAATAAATAAAATCTTTAAAACAAACTATAGATTAAAACAGATTTAGGAAGCAACCTGATACAAGAGAACCCTTTCTTAATTTCAGAAAAAGTTGAAATTCATAGTAAATGCTTTTCCTTCGTGCCACCCACTTTCCAAGCCCTTCTGAATGCTGATGCTAAACCTCTAAGTGTGGTGATGTAAAATAAATTTTTATGACCTTCCTATTAGTCTTGGAATTAAAAGGAGGAAACAATTTTTTCACACTTTCCTAGGTGAGTCTACTTGGAAATGGTGGAGTAAGAGAAATTCCTCGGCAATAAATTTCTTAAAGAAAAGATACAGCAAACTTAAAGTTACTAAAAAAATATCAGACCCTAAAGTAGGTAAGAAAGAGAAAGACTAGGAATGAAAAAAGGAAAGAAGGCATATGGCAAGAAAGTGAACAATGAATGCCCTTCCTACATTAGTCTAAATATTATCTAAATATTTAATCTTCCTTTATACTAGGAAGGTGAAATATTTTATGAATTGACTAGAACATAACCCCCTTTAACATGATCTTACTGGTAAAGTGCCAAAGATGGGGTTAAGGGCAAGGTCAAAGAGTAAGTACTAAGGAGCTTATAAAGCAAACTCAAAAAATATAATTTCAATTGTCTTGCTAATTATGCAAAACAAGATGAAGAATTGGATATACATTCTTACATATGGAGCTGGGGTCTTTAAAAAATAATTCTACACTTAAAGAGGACTTGTACACACATTCACATATATAGAGAGATAAAAATACACACACACACACACAAAAACTCCAAAATGTGTGTTTTTTTTTTAAGTTTTATATACAGTGTTATTTTAATGAGTTAAACATGAGACTATTCCCACAAGCTTCTACACATGAGTTTATAAACACTTAAAATCTCAATGAAAGAAGATGTTAGATGAAGCACATATTATATACTGTCTAGTTCCTGTGAGTTAAACAGAGAGCTATGCCCATATGCTTCTACATATATGTTTAGAAACACATATCTTTTTTTTTTAAGTAGGCTCCATGCTCAACATAGGGCTTGAACTCATGACCCTGAGATTAAGAGTTGCATGCTCTACCGGCTGAACCAGCCAGGCACCCCTAGAAACACCTATATCTGAATGAAGGAACATGTTACTTGAAAGGTTTATATACAGGGTAGACTCAATGAGTTAATCATATGTGTATTCCCATATGCTTCTACACATAAGTTTTCCAAAATCTCCAAAATGTTAACAGTGTTTACCTCTAAGTAAGATTGCTGATATTTTTTATGTTCTTCCTAATACTGCTCTTAATTTTTTACTAAGCAATTCCCTCAAGCACTTGATTCCAAGTCTTCCCACCCCAGATCACGAATAACAATTAATTACCAACAGTTCATGTTTGCATTTGCCATACCACCCAAAGCGTGGATGAGACCTGGGCCAGAAACAACAAGGCATACTCCTGGCCTAGAAGCAAAACAGAATTTACTGTATTAAAAGCAGGTCAAATGCAATAGCTGATTAATATCACTCTAGGAGGAAACATGGCAACCTTCTTGGACTTCAAAAAGAGGACATATAGGTCTTTAGTACAATTGGTAAAGCAATTATTAGAATATTTTCTGAATTATAAAAGAAACAAGGGAAAGATTGTTAGTCTTTCCTGCAAGAAAGAAGATACCTATCATCTTCACACTATATTTCACTAACCTTTTCATATTTTGAACCTCTTCATATTTTGAAGAGGTTATATTTGGGCCCAATCAATTTAATGGCATACAAAAGCCAATTCTTGATACTGAGTACATTTTTGTTTGGAGAAAAGTATTTAAAAAATTTTTTAACAAATATGTCATTTGATCTCTGACAGCAAATACTTCTGAAATGTAATGCTCCGCCTCAAATTTTTTAAACTGAATTTGAATGCTTTACCCTAGATGTGACTTTCTAACCTTAAAACACTCAAGGAAAAAGTATCTCCATATAATTCAGTTTGCCATTTTACACATTTACAAAGTCATTTAAGAAACTCAATGTTTAAGACAGCCTTCAAAAGAAATTGAAATAAAACAAAGACTTTAGTTTACCTGCCTGTCAGATATCCAATCGCAGAAGCAGCATAACAAGCCTACAAAGAAAAAATACTGGAACTTAAGCATACTGGGATCCTTACAGTAATTGCACGTATAAAAATTCACTATTCAGTAAGAAACTAGAACTGAATGGTAAAGGAGGAATTAGAATGCTTTCAGTTTTAACAAGTAATGTTCTACCTGTAAACTTCAAATAACAGTTTAGGTATCTAATTTAGTTCCTAGTATTTCAAGGAACTTGTCTATTTCATCTAGTTTATTAATAATATCCTCTTACAACTGCTTAAATATCTGCAGGATCAACAGAAATGTTCTCTATCTTATTCCTAATATTGGCAATTTGTGTTTTCTCTCTTTTATTCTTCATCAGTCTTGCCAGGGATTTATCAGATTTATTAATATTCTCAAAGGACCAATTTTGGCTTTGTTGATTTTTCTATATTGTTCATTTATTTTCTAGTTCACTGATTTCTGCTCTTGTATTTATTATTTCACCCTTTTCATTAGGATTTAGTGTGGTTTTCTTTTTCTAGCTTCTTAAAATGTGAGCTTAGAGCACTGATTTTTGCTCTTCCTTAGTAATAGATTCATTTAAAACCATTTCCTCTAGGAACTGCTTTGGCTATGACTTACAAGTTTGAAATCTCATCTTTTCATTATCATTCACTTCAAAATATTTTCTATTTTCCACTGTGATTTCTTCTTCAACCCACTGGTTGATTAGGGTTCATTGTAATGTGTCCTTTTTTGTTGTTGTTGAAGATTTTATCTATTTACTTGAGAGAGAGAGCAGGTGGAGGGGCAGAGGGAGAGAGAGAAACAGACTCACCACTGTGCAAGGAGCCCGATGTGGGGCTCGATCCCAGGCCCAGGGACCACAACCTGAGCTGAAGGCAGATGTGTAACCGACTGAGCCACCCAGGCGCACCCCCCCCCTTTTTTTAAGATTATTTATTTGAGAGAGAGACAGAGAGAGAGAGAGCGTGCATGAGCAGAGGGGAGGAACAGAGGGAGAGGGAGAAGCAGACACCCCGCTTAGCAGGGAGCTGGAAGCAGGGCTGAATCCCAGGACCCTGGGATCATGACCAGAGCCGAAGGCAGACGCTTAAAGGACTGAGCCACCCAAGCGCCCCTGATGTGTCATTTTTCATTCCTGCTATTAGTAATTTATATTTTCTTTCATTTTTAAAAAAAGATTTTATTTATTTATTCATCAGAGACAGAGAGAGAGAGGCAGAGGGAGAAGCAGGGAGCCCGATGCAGGACTCCATCCCAGGACCCTGGGATCATGACCTGAGCCGAAGGCACACACTTAACCGATTGAGCCACTCAGGCGCCCTCTGTCTTTCATTTTTGACCAGTCTGCCCTGAACTTTTTTTATTTTACTAGTCTTTTTAAAATGTTTACAAAGTATCAAATGTGTTATTTAACTTTCAAATGTTTGGGGATTTCCTAGTTATCTTTCTGTTACTGAATTTATTTCCACATGGAGAGGTTACATGTATTATATATTTTCAATCTTTGGAGATTTGTTGAGATTCCCTTTATGGCTTGCATATGCCTAGTTTTTATTTCTTTTTCTTAAAGATTTTATTTCTTTATTTGAGAGACAGAGACAGAGAGAGAACAGGAGTTGGGGGAGGGCAGAGGGAGAGGGAGAAGGAGGCTCCCCTCTAAGCAGGGAGCCCAAGGTGGGGCTTGATCCCAGGACCCCGGGATCATGACCGGAGGGGAAGGCAGACGCTTAACGGACTGAGCCACCCAGGTGCCCTGGTTAGTTTTTACTTTTTTTTTAGTTTTTACTACACTTTAAACTACACTTCAGCTGCACAGCAAAAAAGGGGAGGTGCTAAATCAAATACAAGATAACCTGAAAATATGCTAAATGCCGTCTCAAATAAATCCTTTTTCTTAGTCTGGGACATCTTTTTTCCAGTATTATTTCTTCTCATTTTTTTTAGAAATAATAAAAAATAGGATATTTTCTAACCTCCAATCAGCTTTATGTGTGGTACACTGAACTTAAAAAAATGTTTAGGACGTAAGCGTAAAAAATTAAAAATAAATTTTTATGAATCATAATCTTAACTGACACCACTACATATGCCCAACCAAGAAGGTGCACAAAGGCTCTGTACCATTTCTGTGTTACTATTCTCCATTGGCCCTTATCTCTTTTCCCTTTTGCACATAAGTCCAAATTCACAAAGGATAATAATAAGACATCCCTAAGAATGCAAGTGCATAAAATATAATATCTGTTGCAATATGAACACTTATTTGGACACTGAGGAGCACTGTCCACTTATTAAAGTGGGATAATAAATGTTGCTACAGAATGAAAAATACAGAACAACATATAACAAAAATCATATTCTTCTGTTGCAGAAGTCAAAAGTTGAAAAGGAGCTCTTTTTATAGATCATAAAACATGTATTTCTTGGGGTGCCTGGGTGGCTCAGTTGGTTAAGCATCTGTCTGCCTTTGGCTCAGGTCATGATCCCAGGGTCCTGGGAGAGAGCTCCGCATTGTCAGCTTGCCTCTCCTTCTCCCTCTGCCCCTGCCCCACACCCCCCCAACCTCTGCTCATGTGCTTATGTGATCTTTCTTGCACACTCTCTCTCAAATAAATAAAAGAAAAACAAAACAAAAAAAATGTATTCCTTTACCAAGTTACCTCCACTCACAAGGAGAATACTGTGTGCAGTACTTAAAAGAGCAGACTCTAGAACTAAATTGTTTTGATTCAAATCCTGCTCTCCTACTTTCTGCTGTGTAATTTTGGCAAGTTACTCTGTACCCTGGCTTCCTTATCTATAAAATGAACATAACTGACAGCACTGCTGTGAGGATGAAATCAATTAATACATGTAAAACATTTCCGAATATTGCCTACACACAGAAAGTGTGCCTACTTCCTGGAAAGCTGCTCAGTATATGGCTTGATTACTCTAGGGATCCAATGAAAGATAAACAGGTCACAACCAATTACACCTTTCTCTTTAGTACAACACATAATTGGATGCCAAGTCCTCTTTTGCCTCTTGTATGGCTTCTGAATCGGTTCTCACATTCTCTCTTCATCATCCTCGCATTACCCTTAATTCAGGCAATAGTTAAGTCACCCTGACTACTGCAAAGACTCAGGTTGACTGAGGGGACTGTCTACTACTAGGAATGTCCTACAGGCATCTCAAACTCATATCCAAATTGGGATTCATTATCTTTGCCCTCCAAATTGGCTCTTCCAGCTGTACTCCCGATCTGAGTTAGTGGCACTGTGATCCACTCAGTCAGTTAAGCAAGCCCAAATCTGAGAAGCATCTCCAGAAGAGCCTGTCCTCTCCTTCCTAGCTGGTTAATGCCTACTCATCCTTTGAGACAGCTCAGGGACCATTTCCTCTAGGAAACCTCTTAAGTTCTAGCTGAGTATCCTTTTCTAGGCTTCCATAGCACCTTGAATATACCTCTATCACAGCACTTATCACATTATAATAAAATTGTCGGCTTATGTCTGTCTCCACAGCTAGGTTATAAGCTCCTCAAGGACTGGGACAGTATATCATTCATCTCCATATCCATATGCCCAATAAAGCACCTGGGACCTACAGAGGCCCTCCACTAAGCTTATAGGACTGAAATAAAACTTCAAGCTGTCCTACTGATCTATACTCTGTACTACTATGATTTCTAAAGTACAAATCTAATTATGTCTCCCACCTATTTAGAAAACCCTTTACAGTCTCATTCAATGCCGACTGAAAAAGCCCACATTCCTTGTCCAGCCATGGACTTACTACAACTCCCTCTCAGTCCACCTAGTCAGTCTCACAGCCCACTGTGCCTTTAAGCTATTTTGATGGAACAGCATGAACAAACATTGCCTTTATGGATAATCTTCTCTGTCCCACTCAGAGAGAACAAGTCACCCTTTACATACACCATTCCTTATGCATACATCTATTGTAAGTTATTATACTAGATAAATTTGTTGTGTGTGTTTTGCACTCACCTTCCCAGATTGTGTTCAACTTAAAGATCAAGACTAAACCTGATTCCTTCAATATATCTCTCTAGGTTTGGGCTTGCTTGATTGACTAGGTGAATCAGCACCACTGACTCAAATCATGAATACAGAGGGAAGAACCAATTTGGAGGGAAAAGGTAATGATTCAAAAATCAGACATGAGTTTGAAATGCCTATAAGACATCCCTAGTACGTATTTCCCATAGTCAGCTTGACTCTTTGCAATAAGTCAGAGAAAGACGTAAACACCAGTACCTGGTATGTAATCATTAAACATGTGGTGTATGAAGAAGAAACCAGACATTCCACTTCCAGAAAAACAGTAAAATATAAGTCTTATTAATAGGTCAATAGTTTCATCTTCCCACACAGATGAAAGAATAGAATGTTGTTCCAACTAAGAAGATAGAAGCAATACAAACTGAAGACCTGATTTAAGATTTAAAAAACCACAATCCTCAAATCTTATACTTAAGGACTGTCATTGAATTAATTTAAAAATGTTGTAAGTTTCTACATCATACAAAAACCCCAACCACGCCAGGCACTATGGAGATGTAACAAATGAACCTGCTCTCTAGGAGCCCACATCTGATGAAGAGGAAGGGCAGCACTTAAGGAGGTCAAGGCAGCTGTCTGGCAACAGGTAGTAAGAGCCTGAATGAGAGAGCAACAGTGGGAGTGCAAAGCAGGAATACTTAGCTGTAGATGGACTGACAGGATATGACACCATAGAAGTTGTTTCTTGATCTTTTAAGCCAGCATTGGTGAGAGGAGGGCAAGGCTGGGTTGACAGAGTGAGCACTGAGACTGGGTTGACAAAATGTCTTATTTTCCATTCTTTTGCTTCCAAATAAGCCTCTACGAAGGGTGGCAGCATGATGTGGGGGAAGGAGCACTGGGCTGGGATATAGGACAATGACGTTCTAATCACAGCTTTTCCATTTGTGATACTGTCATCTTGCAAGGCCGTCTACTATATAACAGGAGACCCGGCCTTCACCCATTCATCTGGTAGGAACGGCCAGAGCACCTACCATGTGCTAGGCAGTGGGGATATAGATGTATCAAGAAGAAATAATATCCCTCCTCTCTTGGAGCTCACAGCCAAATAGGGAAGTCAGACCAGACAAATAATACACGGAAACAGACACATAATAACAGATAGTTATGCGAGGACACAAGGCCTGGATTCAGACCGGGAAACTGTCCCTTCCAATCCCGACCCTCTAGACTTGGCAGAGTACAACCCTGGGCAGTGTCAAGAGCATGGACTCCAGACCCAGAACACGCGGGTTGAAATCCTGGCTCAGCCGCTACCAACTATCACCTCGGGCAAATTACTTAACCTCTCTGTGTCTCACTGTTCTCATCTGTCAACTAGGATTAACCGAAGTTCTTGCTTCATAGGATTGTCGTCATTGGCACGTGTGAAGTACTGGAACAGCGGTGAGGGCTGGGCACCTGCAATGAATATTTGCCGTTATTAGCAGTCATTCCCAAAAATGCTTTTGGCTCCCAGTGTCCATACGTACGGCTTGCTCATTCCTCATCCCGACGTATGTGATGCCCAGCTTCTGCGCCGCAACGGCGATTTCGGTCACCGGGATGCCCACGATGCCAAACATGTACGCCACATCCTGGGGGCCAAGAACAGAGGAGTAAATGCCCGGACCCCGCCACACCGTTCCCTCCCTCGGCGCTAAAAGCAAAGCCTCAACGCAAACCTCCCCGGTCCCACCCTAGCGCTCTCCGAGTCTGCGGGACAAGTCTCCGCGCCCTGCCGGCTTCCGTAGGAGCCTTTCGTTGCAGGAGCGTCACCATACTTGGGTTTTCAGGGCCTGGGCGATGACTTCAGCACCAGAAACCTGCTTCTCGCTTCTGTCGCTACGCTCCGCGAAGGTACTTTCCCACATCTTCCACCTAAAATTTCGAGGTACTCTCTCAGTCAACAAGTTGACCCGTAGCGACCCGGCGAAACAAAGTCAGAAGGCAACCGCACGCCAATTGTGAGGCCCCGTCCTCTGACTGACAAGAGGAAAGCAACCAACCGCTTTAAAAATAGCGGAAAGGAAAAGGCGGGGCTTAAGTTAGTCGGCTCACAGGGTAAACACACTCCTTCTCCAATCAGAACCGTGCCCTTTGCCCAGCTCCTCCAGTCGCCGGGTCAGAGCATCGGAAGGAGGCGGGACTAGCGGGAGTCCACGGCCTATGCCAAGCAGGTGAGGGGCCAAACCTCGGAGGCCTCTCGCCCCCTCTAATCACCGTCCGGAGCCGTCAGGGGACCCGAGAAGGCGAGTGGCGCATGCGCATAGTGGGGCAGCGGGAGGGCTGGGAGCGCGAGTGCAAGGGGGCGTGGCGCGCGCCCCCCGTTGCCCCCTCCCCATGCTTTAGGGGTCGAGGGCAGGCTTCGCAAAGGCTGCTGGGACCCGGGTGGGCTGGGTGGAGCCTAGCGTGGTGCGAAGTTGTCTTTGGGTCGTGTTGTGTTTCTGCGCCCACTGAGTCCTGGACGTTTGCTACGTGCTTTTTGGTTTATACACGCTTTTGTAACTTTGGGAAGAAGTTTCACAACTGTGCAGTTCGTGAAACATAGTAATTAACTAGTGCACGTTAATTAAATCCATAAACGGATGTACTCTTTACCCCAATATTATAGATGACACCGAATTTATAAGCAAGAGACAGTAAACTGCTCACACCATTTCTCAGAATCCCAAACTTGTACTTTTGGGCTACCGGAGACGAAGAGGAACCCTTGAACCTAGCTATTCTAGCCAGGCGTGAGCTCGCAACCCTGAGATCAAGACCTGAGCTAGTATCAAGAGTTGGATGTTTAACTAACTGGGGGAGCCACCCAGGCGCCCCTGAACCTAGTTAAAAGTAAAAGACCATTGTTTTCTTTAACTCTTGCTACTCACCCACTCTTCCTCTCCATTCACCCTCCGTTCTTGTCTTTTCCAAAATCAGGGAATGTGGGCTTTCGTAATTCTTAGGTTCAGTCCCTGTCGACCAGTCCCTGTAGCTGATAAGCTTTTAAAACGCATTTTTGAGGGGTGCTGGGGTGGCTCAAAAATAAAATTAAAAAAAAAACAAAAACACAAAACACCACGCATTTTCGAGGGGAAAAAGATGCTTGCAATGTGTGATTTCTGTGGATGTAGCCTCCGAGTCATTAAACCATCTCCACAGCAAAGAGTGACTTTAAATTTTTGAGGATTTTGAGTGTTTTAAAGCAAAAAGACAAGTAATATGTGGAAAGTAGAAGAGGGGAGTGGGTCATGGGTAGACAAATGAAAAGCATTGGAAGTGAAAGGATTTCTAAGCCCAGAGATTTTCAAACCATAGTCCTGGGCCCCTCCAAAAGGTCTTCCTTTCAGCATTTCAAGCCCTAACCTCCCACCCTAAACAGAAGAGAGTGTAATAGTGGCCTCTCTGGATTTGGGGACTAGCCTGTGTAAGGTAGCCAGCTCATCAAAGAGGGAGATTTCTTTGATGGCTCAGAGTTCCTCTAAAACATAAATGCAAATCTTGCATTCCACTCCAAAGTATATCCATATTTTAATATAAATATCTTTTTATGAGGTAAAATGAACATGCAATTAAATGTACAGGTCTTAAATGTTAAATAAATTTTGACAATTGGATGTACCTATGTAATCACCACCCAAAATAAAAATGACATTTTAAACTACCTGGCAAGTGAAAGTGACATTCCAGAAATATGCAAAGTGTTCTTTGTGTGGCTTTGGGTAGTCCTGTTTTTTGCCTCCTGTCTCTGTTTGAGAAGCATCGACCCCAAGCTCCTCTATCATGTAGGATTGTTTATATTAGTACCTATGTGACAGTCTCGACTCCCATTGCATCAGAATCATTTGGAAAACTTTTTAAAAATACAATTGCTTGGGCCCTACGCCGTATTTTCTAAATCAGTGTGTTAGAACAAGTTAGGCACCTATATTTTTTTAAAGCTGCTACGTTATTTTGATTTGCAGCCTGTCTTGGAACCACTAGCTCTATACCTCTGCTAGAGGCATCAGTTAACAATTAAATGTGTGATTACCTGTTACCAGAGTAATACTGTTGACTAGTTTGGATTCACAGGTTCAAGGCTAGTTTGACATTGGCACCACAGACTGTGTAGATGGTTAGTCAGTTGGTGGGCCTTGTGTCTACTTCTGTGTCAAAAGAATCACGAGCAAAAGCACTCTGTATGAAGTGTGGTGAAAACTATACTATGAACTGGAACAGATCCCCTGAATTCACATTAACTGGTTTTGCAAAAAGGGTAAATTCTCAGCTGACTGGATTTTGTCCTTTAGCAAAGGGAAAAGTCAATGAGACTGTTTAAACTTGCTTTAACCTTTATATCTTTGGTTCAGGGTACAGTGTTCCACTGCTCACTTGGTCTGATGATTGAGCAGAAGTGATGATGGTCCTTTGTATCTTTGGTTCAGGGTACAGCGTTCCACTGCTCACCTGGTCTGATGATTGAGCAGAAGTGATGATGGTCCTCCTCCCCAGGATTAGCCAGCACTGGGAGCAACTCCTTTCAATCCAACTGTGATTATAGGATTCTTCCGTGATTCACCCAAGGCCCTTCCATGCAGACTTTGTAAGCATTAACCATATTCTTTATTACTTTCATTGGTGGTAGACATGGAATTTTATTTGTTGGATGTTTTATTGGAATTTTTTGTTTGCTTTTATTTGTCCATGGAAGGAGGTCAAAGAAGGAATGAGTCTAATTTTTTTAAAAGACAAGGCTAACGTAATGATAATATGCTCTCTAAACAGGAGAGACAGTCATCAAAGTGTACAACTAAAGTAACCTGAGTCTGTTGGGAGGAACAGGGAGAGTCAATATCCCCTTCATTAGGGAGAGCCTGTGTTTCCTCCAGCAACCTGGGGTTTTTGGAGGAGGCCTATTTAGACATTAATCCAGTATATCAGGAGGGAGTTTATCAGCCTCATCAGTGGCCAGACACATTCTGCAAGAGGTCCTTAGATTGGGTCCTGATTTAGGGCCATTCAAGGCTGAACATAGGGTACCTCAGTTCGGTTTGCCTTGTTTCCTACCAGAAGAGATCTGGTAGATCATACTGAGGCCATGCAGTGTTAGAAAAGATCAGTTCTTTCTTTTTTTTTTTTTTTTTTAAAGATTTTATTTATTTATTTATTTGAGAGAGAGAGAGAACACATGAGAGGGGATAGGGTCAGAGGACAAAGCAGACTCCCCACCGAGCAGGGAGCCCGACGTGGGACTCGATCCCGGGACTCCAGGATCATGACCTGAGCCGAAGGCAGTCGCTCAACCAACTGAGCCACCCAGGCGCCCAAGATCAGTTCTTTCTTAAATTTTGCAATCCCAAATTGTTTCTAGTGGGTTAAAAGGCATGCCATGGGAAAGTCCTTGGAAACCGAAGAAGCCTAGAGAAGGTCCATTATCAAAAATCGCTCCTGGCTCCTGGGTGGTGTCCCACACAGGATATGTCGGGGGTTCCGGGTGTTCAAGTGACTGGAGGCATCCCTCCAACAAAATCACCATTGATCACCATCCCTGCTGTAAAGTAAAGGCCCCATAGGAGGGATTGCCTGTGTCCCCTCACTTCCCCATTGCATTCTAGACTACAAGTGGGTGCCGGTGAATTGACCAAAATACCATGCCCTGCCGTGCTGTGAAGAACCTGCCATTTCTAACCCATGGAAAACACCAGAAAAGTTTTACAAGGGGAAATTACCCAATTTAGTAACTTCATTAACTAATAGGGAACATTGATGAAAAACAGTAAAATAGAAATCCATCATGATCTAAGCAACATTCCAACACGTGTAGTCCTTACAGCCGACTTCCCTAGGAAATGGTCCCCAATGGGATTTTGATTCAATCAGGTACTAGTTTCTGGCCTGAAGCGGCTAGACCAGAGATGTGAAGGGGATCACATTAGACCAATGAGGAAGAAACCTCACATGGGAGTCTTAAGATTGGCAGGCGTCCTCGTGACTTAGGAGGCTGTCTCAAGCCTAAGGACAGGAATAAAGAAAAACAAACAAAAGGACAGGAATAAGGCGAGGGCCTCAAGTTTCTGGGTCTTACTACCATTCTGGCTGGGGTACTAACTTCTAGCCAAAAGGCAGGCTTTTCCCTCCCCAAAGAGTCCCCAAAGAGTCCCTCCCCAAAGGGCTAGAGGATTGCAGTCTGAGCAATCGACATGAAAGTGTTCGAGTAAGAGCCAGCACACTCCTTGAAAAGCCTCTGAAATGAAAGTAAAGGCAAGAGAAGAGGAATTACTCTACTCTTCAAGTTTGCACCGAGGCTCAGAGTTCCAATGAAAAGACTCA